TGGAGCAGAATGCCTTGAGATTTTCTTATGCTACTCATTATCTGTGCACTTATAATTGAAAATGTATTATTATGTATATCTGGGATTTTCTATTTAGTATTTTCAGACCATAGTTGACTACAGGTAACTGAAACCATGGAAAGCGTGTGATTTCAGAAGAGAGTATTATGTAAAGTATTTGTTTAATTGAGGTGATCTTTTGTGTCCATGTCACTATTAGATATTCTTACTCTTAGTTCCGAAAATATGTGACCTGCTATTGTTTTCATTTAACAGTATGATAATGATTTTGTTTCACAGTGTGATACTAATATTGGGACAGATCACATTACATATACAAATAATGCCTTTCACAGTTCCTTTAGTGGCACTTTGATCCACTGAGAAAACAAAACACATAGTTTCTGAGGAAACACAATGACTGGTTTGTTGAAAAAGAATTTAACTACTCAAAGCAGAATTAGATTCTTATAATTTGGCTTGCATAGCAATATTAAAATATATAGAAGAAATACATATTTCTCTAAAAAAATAAACCTATAGTAATTTCTCTTAAATAAGGAATTGCTTTTAATAGATGCAAATTCCTTTTTCTGTGTGTTGGTGGTGATATTAAGTTTATATTTGATACATCCTACGTGTTCTTATTAGTATGCTACTCTAGTGCCTTGAAGTGTGTCTGTAGTGCTGTCAATTGTGAAAAGCCTGTGTGCTCTGTAGCACTAACAGACTGCCAGTCCTTATTTAGGAAGCTGAGCTTCTTGACTAGCACATGTATAGGCTTTGGCCGTGTGACGGAATTGGAGCAGTTCTGTTGCTAGCCCTCTTAAGCGACTGTAAACAGACACCGCCCTCTTCTGTTTCTTCCCTCAACCAGTGGATGAGTTTTAGCAGCACAACCCTGGAGGTTGTTTATGTATCAGTAAAGTTGCTCAACAAAAAATAAAGCAAACCAGTACTGTTACTGACTGAGATTTTTCTTAAAACAGTTTTACTGTCCATTTTATAAAATAAGGCCCAGAAACATTTATTTACTCAGCCGTCCTTGTCTCTTGCTGTATACCTGTCTTCACACAAGGAAAACCCTTGCTTCTTCAGTGCTGGTCCTGGGAAGTGCTGGTCCAAGAGAATGAGCTGAGCATGTCTTCTCTCTTGAGATAAAGAGGAAAAGGAAAGAGTGAGGGTGTGCACACCAGGAGGTCATCAACCTGTGATATTGCCAGGAAACCTAGCTTTGAATTCCTGTTTGGACACTTACCATGTGGTCTCGGGCGTCTGCTAGTTTTTCTATGCCTTAGTTTTTTCCTTTGTCAGTTGGGGGTAATAATAATGCCTGCCTCAGAGTTGGTATGAGAATTAAGAAAATATTAACCGAAAAGTACAGTGTAGTCTATATAATAGCTAAGAACATAACATTCTGGGGTCAGATGTTGGAGTTTGAGTCCCTGCTCCATTAGACAGTTTTTTTGCTATAAAAAAACACCACCTATTATCATTACATATAAAATACCTATTGGGATTTTTGAAAGAATTACATTAATTAAAATATGTAAAATACTTAGGCCAGTGTCTGGCACCTAGAGAACATTATTTGAGTAGTAATTTTCATTCAAAGGCTTCCATCAAGTCTCATATAGAATGCATACTCAAGAAATAGTTGCTGTGCTGTAGGGAATTCCTGTTTTCTAACAAAATTTGTTTGAGGTAGTATGTGTGCAAAGCACAAACACTAGCTAACGGAAGTCACTTGGTGAGGTTTCTGGCAGCACTGAGTGCTATTTTGAGTTCAGTGAACCTGCCGCACCTTTGAGGAGCCCAAGTATGTGCCTTCCTCCAGCAGTGGTTATCTGCCGAAGTTCAAGCTCAGACAGAATGGATAGTGCAGTTCATTCAAGGCTGTAATTTTAGTAGGCAGATTCAACAGGGGATTGTAATGACAGATTCTCAAACCTAAACTGGACAGAAAGAAAAAAAAGTGAGATTTAGAGAAAGGAAAGTAGAGAGCTATGTTTTAGGTGCCCGTAAAGTCTAACAAGCCTGATGGTAGGGATATTTGAGCAAGCACAGTGAAAATATAATACAGTCTGATTTAGCCACTTCAGAGATAGAGAAGTTTCAGGTAGTGGAGTGGCACCAGTAAGTTAAAAGATTTGTGTTAAAAATCTAAAGGCTGGATTACAGAGTACAGACAGGTAATTGTTTATAATACACTCATCAGAATTCTCATATCTGAAATTTATAAAGAAGCCCTACAAATTTAAGCAAAAAGTTACCCTAATAGCAAAGGGGCAAAGGGTGGCACAGGTATTTCACAAAATGTTCAATAAACATGAATTCTAATTCTCACTGGAAAAATGTTAATTAAAACTACAATATGATGTCACTGCCTCCCACCAGAATGGTTAAGACGAAAATGACAATACTAAGAGTAACTGAAACTCTTATACAAATGTGATGTTCATAGTACAACCATTTTGAAAAATTGGCATTGTTATTAAGACTGAGCATGAGCATAACCCAGAAAATCCACTCCCATATATATGTAATCTCACCAACACAAATTTGTGTGTATTAAAAGATGGGTAAATAAGAATATTCACAGGAATCATTCTTAGGAACCAACACTTGAAAACAGATCACATAAATTCTGGATCTTTACCCAAGGGAGTACTAATAGATAAATTATAAGAAGATGCATGTATATGTTTCAAATATAAAGTGTGAATGAAGCCAGACCCAAAAGAGTATATACTGTATGATTCCAATTGTTAAAAGTAAAAGCAAAATTAACATGTGGGGTTATATTACGATAGTAGTGACCAAAAGCTGGAGTGGCCCTTAGGTGCTCCTAGAGGTTATTTCTTGATCTAATTTGGTGGTTATGTGGGTATATTTCTTTGTTAAAAAAAAAAATTCACTCTGCTCTGTGCTTTGGATTTGTGTGTTTTGTCTGTTAAATTTCCATTTTAAGAATATTAGGTCAGAGGCTTGAGAATTTGGGAAATAATAGCTCACTTTTTCTACTTGACAGATCTCCCTAGAATTAATGATTTCAGTTTTTAAAATGCAACTGTTTACTACAAACCAGAAAATGAATCAATTTAGCTTCTTACCCTCTTAAACTATGTTGCTGTAACAGCAGAGAATTTTCGAGAGCAACAACTGCAAGTATCTCTGGCAGTATACCTTGAAGTACTGATTTGTTTGTATTGATTCTGTAAGACAGGTTACCTGGACCACATACATAAGTTATATATAAAACTGTAATTGGAACTTTGTGGAATCAATCTTTTTAACTTTTCTCAAAGTGATGCATTGTCATCCCACAGATCAGATCTGGTGCTTTTAAAGTTTAATTGAAGAAAGAGTTTTGTGTGATCCAGCTGTGAGGCAAGTTTGACGGTGCTTGAATGAGCATTAGTTGCAATTGATGCTTACTGCTTTGACTGCATGATGGTGCCCGTGATGCTGTTGTAGTGACTTAGTGAGTTTCAGCTTTGGATGGAATTTGTTTTGTTTAGTCTGCATTGTGCTCCAACTGATTATTGAAAACTTTACACTTTGGCAGAACATTGCTTCATAGCTCTTCCCTTTTCTGCTATTTTTATATCACATAAATCATTGCACATTTTAGCCATCTGCAAGGCCTGAATGGAATGAGATAAAAAAGCTGCCATCCCTTAAACTGACACTTGAAAAGCTATTATTCACTGGGAGTTTATTCTTGATTATCCTTTATATTTTAAAGTTTCGAGCTTCATTTCAAGATTGTTGCTAACATCTTTGAGCCAGAAGTATCTCTGATTCAGTTTCTTTTAGCCTGAATATTGGGCCAAAGGGAGGAGATTCATCCTGTGTCACCCAGAAGAATCTGCTAAAGACTCCATTCTCTCTCAATTAAGATAATAAGAACAGCAAGTTCTACTCCTGTTTTAAAAGTATGTTGGTTTAATCAACTCAACAGCTGTCCAGCTTGGCATGCACCTCCTAGGAAATAGTAAAAACATAAGGTTCTTAAATTACCAGTTGAGTACTTTAAAATAAATGTCTTTGCTTGCCTAGAACGTGTCACACCTGTTAGATATATGTCAAAAAATGTTTCTCAACATAGCAACTTTCTGACAGTTCAGTGAAGAGGACAAAAAAAGAATACATGGCCTGGGATGTTGCAAACAAGATTTGTGATTAAAAGTATAGACCCACACTCATGGTCTTTCACTATAGATGTGTAGAAGGCTAGCATTTGTGTACTGTGTAATAGATTAGTCAGGGTTCCTTGAATAAAGCCTTTCCAACTATTAAACTCTCTGAACACAGCTTTTCCCAGGGCCAGAAGAAGAGGGAGTCCCTTCAATTGCAGTTAGCTAGAATTGTATAAATTAGGGAGCAAAGTACAGATTCATTTCAGGATGAGAAGTTGCTTCAGTTTTCGGGCAAGTTGAGGATTAGCACTAAATTTCCTGTCTTAAAAAATATAATACTGTTAACAACTGAGTAGTCTTAAACTCTAAAACTCTTATAGAGGGTATGGAATATAAAAGTATTGCCTAATTTCATCTCCTTGAGAGCCTGAGATGATTGACCAAAAGATGTACACAACTTAAGTACAATGGACTCTTCTATTTTGAAAACAGAAAGGTCTCCAAAATAGAAAACTCTACTAAGAATCTAAGAATAAAACCACTAATTTTACATTGTATATTTATCCTAATGAATCTCCATGGGATTTTAGGCAGGTCACTTAGTGTTTCTTGTCTGTTGTCCCCATTTTGCTGCTGTAATGTAAATATTCAGGAGACCTCAAGTTTTTATTTGTAGACTACAGTGTTTTGAACATAGACAATTCCTTTGAGTTTTTTTTTTCTTTGAAGGAAGAATTCTTATTTTTGCTTACAGATAAAACTGGGAATGATTGCAGTAGTTGGGGGGCTTTACTTTACATAATTCAAGTGAATTGTGCTTATTTTTCATTTAGTGTTGTTAACTTCTTTATTCAGCAGACAGAAGGTGGAGCACAGACAGACGGCCAGCAATCACAGACACAAAGTAGTGAGAATTCTGAGAGTAAATCTACCCCTAAACGACTACATGTCTCTAATATCCCTTTTCGTTTCCGGGACCCTGACCTCCGGCAAATGTTTGGGGTAAGTCTTCAAAGAACTTACAGATTTTACCATTAAAATAGGATTTAACCCAATAGCTGTGTTGTTACGCATCTGCTCTAGACATTTACCTGGCAAATCACACAGGTGACTGTGCAAGTAGATTTGCTGAGACTGAGCCTTCCAGGGCTAAGACCAGGATGAGATGGCCGCCCTGCTCACACACCAGCCTTAGTACATATATCAATGATATGCTTAGATTTACCTAAGTGCAAGAGATATTGTTTTAATGCAGTGACTCCTAAGCTTGTCTATACTTGGAAATCGCTTGAGAAGCTTAAAAATTACTGATCCTGTGTCCCATACCCAGAGGTAGTGATTTAATTGATGTGGTAACTTTATAAGATCCCCAGGTGATTGTAATGTGTGAATAAGTTTAGGGGGCCCCTATGTATTCATCCCCTAACATTTTTTTTGTCTTCCAGGTAAGCCTAGCACATTATTACGTACTCGCATCATATGGTGTTAACTACATGACTGTTCTGTGCCTCAGTGATACATTATTGCTGCTCTCTATTCCATCTTTGCAGTCTCAGAAAATGCAGAGTAGAGAATATGAGTTTAGAAGGGCTCATTAAAGGAGAGAGGGTGTGGATTTTGACATTAAAGAACTTGGAACTGAATTCCATTTGGGCATGACTCAGGGAAATTTACATAATGTCTTTCAACTTGGATCTCATCTAAGTACAGGAATAGCAATCTTTTATCTTTCAGTTACAAATTAAATGGAGTAGTGTCAGTAAAAGCTAATAAAGCCTCATGTAAAGACCAATATCTAAGGAAGGTATAGAGAGTTAGTTTCCTATCTCTGATGTGTTACTTAAGCTTTTCCTAAAAGAGCTCCTCCTAAAAGCAATTACTATCATGAAACCAAAGTGTGGTAAAAGAAAATTTTATGTTATAAATGAATGGCTGCAAAGAGTCTTAATTTTTTTCTGATCCTGAATGTTGTTGCTGTTTTAAATTAATTAGACCAAACTCTTTGACTTAACCTAGGACCAAGAGAGAGAATCAGTGGTTTTGTAAAATTTTCATTAGAATAGGTGCCTGGTGCCTTGTTTAAAAACCACATTCCTTGCTTTAAGTCTTTGCTATGGCCGTTTTGTGGCATCAAGACATTGGACCAAATCCCTGTTACTTGACCATATTTTTCCCACTGAAAAGAAAGCCAGAGTTGAGTTGAGATTGTTTGAAATTTTTTATTACTACATATTTGCGCTCCCGAATGCTTACATTCATCACAGAGGATTGATGCATGTACATAACACATTTAATTATTTTTACTTCCCCTTCCTTTCCTGCCTTCCCTCCCTTCCAAGCTGAGATTCAGTAATGTTCTGGCAGTGCTTAGAGAGCTCTTACCCAGAAAATGGTAACCAGCTGCTCTCTATCTTTTCAGAAAAGAGAACAACCAAAAACAGAAAAGTCAGCTAAAGGACTTAGTTTACCTATAAGAAGATTCTTCCCAACACTGTGAGTTGTTAGGTTCTCTTCTGATCTGAATCATGAGAGACTCAGTCTTTGTAGTCCATGAGAAAGGAGTACATTCTCATCTATCAGATATGTTTTGTATTAAATCAGAAAAATAGTGTCCTAGGCCAGTTAGTGATTTCTTTAAATATATTGTGCCCTTCTCGTAAGGCAGCAAATGAAAAAGAAGTAATTTTTTGCTAGCAAAGGACACCTCATTCCTCTGCTTTCTTCTGTTTGGTTAATGGCTATTAGCCATTGGTAAACAGCAGAGATTCCAAACTCTATTTTACTAGCTTTGTAAACTTGACAAATAGCTTCTATCAGCCTCAGTTTCCTTAACCATCAAAGGAAGACAAACTTTCCTTCAGAAAGATCATATAAGAATGCAGTGTGAAATATAAAACCAAAACTCTAAACAATTGTGCAAATCTTAGTTTTATATAATAGGTCTAGAAGTAAAACTAAAACTTTCCTATCTAAAATAAAATATTTTCCTTCTTACTGAATTCTAACATTTTATTAAACAAAATTGGAATCAAACCTGAATGTGTTATGCTAGAAAACTTAGGTTCTTTAGTGCATGAGTTGTTTTTTTTTTTTTCCTCATACTTGTCAGGCAGGCGCTTATGCCACTGAGCTAAATCCCCAGCCCCTTACTGCATGTTTTTTGATAAAGATAGTAATGCAGTCCAGGTGGATTTCTGTTTCTCGTCTTCATTTTTCAGTCTTTTAGTGGTTTTGTTCCCCTTACATTCTCAAAATCCAGCTAAAATTAATAATGGAGTTTGTGCCAACTTACCCGGAGATTTCCTGCTCATGCCTTCAAATCAGTTCATCCAGTTCTTGTCCAGGTGAAGAGGTACATAAGAACACACTGTGAAGGCTTTGGACAGTGGCTTTTATACCCAGAAGGAGATGTCACATGGATGAGTGAATTCAGAAAGCAGTGAAAACTGAGATGCTCCCAGCTCTGTGCTGGGGAAAAAATCAGAAGTAGATAGAAACATGAAATTAAATAAGTACTAGCAGAGATTCCCATTTCAGAAGAAAGTAAAATAGATACGTGAGAAGCTAACCATAAATAAATGTTTTTATTTTTGTCTCTGCAGCAGTTTGGCAAAATCCTAGATGTAGAAATAATCTTTAATGAGCGTGGCTCTAAGGTGAGTTCTGTTTCAATACCAACTGTGTGTGGGGTTTTTTGTTTTGTTTTAAACAGCTGTTATTCAGAATGCGTTAACAGTGTGGCAAGCCTGGCATAAAAGTATCCCAAGTATCCACTTTGGGTTAGATTATCTCTAAAAATAGTCCAATGGCCAGACTTTATCCTAATATTTAAATCTAGAAGGTGATAAGAAAAAAAAAGTTAAAGGGGAGTGTGGCAGCATGTAAGATATCAGAGATGGCAGTCCTTGGTTAGTCTGAAATTTACCCTAGGCCAGTAAAGGCCTTTGAGAGCTTTCAGTCATGCAGCCTGCTGCAACATGTGTGCCAAAGGCTGCCACCACTGGCTTAGACTTCGTTAACTTTAAAGGCAAGAGAGAAAACGAAAAAAACTAAAATTCTGTGCTCTGAATTTTGTCAGAACAATTCAGCTTTCTGAAATCCAACTTTAAAGTAACATACTTCTAACAGATATAATGCTCATTTATTGAATATACTGTTCTCTCTTGGAGTATGTTTTGCGAAGACTTGTCCACAGGAATTCACCATGAGTCCATTTCTTTCTATAAGTTTTGCCCAGATGGACAAGCTTCAGAGTATTGACTCTCTTCTGTTACAAAGGCAGTGAATTAGCCTTTTAAAAAGCTAAGATTTTTTTCATTGTAATGATTTTTCCCTATATCTAGCAATTTTTTAGTTTTAAGTTTGATTTGGCCATCTCTGCTAAACTTTGAAAACAGCTCTGTGATTTAATTGCTTAAAAATGTGATTTGAGGAAAAGCTTAGAGTCAGAAAACAAGTTAATATCTACCTCTCTTCAATTTTCTACTCCAAATTGACCATGCTATGGGAATTGCCTCCTGCTGCCATTCATTTGTACTGATGCAAATGTTTATTACTGTTCTAATGCTCCTGATTATTATTCCCTTTCATTATAGAATATATCAACATTAATAGTATTTGATTCTGATTATAACACTTATTTAATAATGAGGTCATTATATACTCTATGCTTCAAGTTTTCATTAAAACATAAAAGATTAATATGTCTATACAGAGCTTTCCCCAGCAGTTAACCTGGTAAGTACTTTTAAAGTGAAATCTATTAACTGCAATCATTAGAACTATTTAATGCTTGTTATTTCCTCCAATGGATTTCTATCCTTTATTATATAATTTGCAGTTATTTTTGTGAAGTTTTTAGCTGCTAGGTGGGATAATCTTAACGAACTAGAAGCCAGTATAGTTTCATCAGGCATTGAGGTCTTATTCCTTACCATTTGATCAAATTACTGTGAAGCAAAGGAAATTGATCTCTCTTAAGATTTTTTTCATTCACTCAAGGATTTGCCTGTTACCAAATTTTCTAAAAATTTACCTGATCCAATTACTTCTCCCACATAAGTTTCATTTTAAAATAATGTCACGCCTTCCTTTTCCCTTTGGAAAATTCTAAAGGAATATGCAGCTTCCCTTCCTTCTGTTTGGTGTACTCACTGCCCTCTCTTTCTTTGGGTTGCTAAAAGGCAGACAGTTTAATTTGGGCTGCTGAAAGGCAGACAGACAGATTAAATTAGTAAGTGCATTAAGAACAGCACAGAATTCAGGATTGCTGTGGACCTGTCTGCCTTTAAGGACTTGGACAAAATCTTATTTTCGTCCTTTACCCTCCTGGCTCTTTCTTCAAAGTCCTTTTTTGCAGTGGGTTCCTTGGACCTGTTCTGAGGCTGCTAAGAGATTATTGTCAAGTTATGCTAAAGATCCTCCTCCGGGATCCACCCAAGAGAAATTAACAGGCACTTTTCTTTTTGTGAATTAAGTGATATTGCTCATTACTTTTGTATGTTTGGAATAGATTATAAAATTACAACATATATTGAACCAGACAAAAGTCGTTATGTGATCTTACTGTTTTGGATAAGAGTTGCTCTTAAAGTTTTTTTCTGTCTGGAAATTCACTTCATTGAATTTTCTGAAGCATTAATGGAAGTCACCACAAAGTCTGAAATAAACAATACTTCCATGTAAATCAGTGTTAAATTAGTCCAAACAAAAACAAAAAGAAGCTCTTTGCCGTTTCTAATTTTTTGCAATAAAATCATTCAGGGTTCTAGACTGTAACCAGTGAAAACCTAAGAAAACACTATTCACTGCCACATCCACTCTTCCCTTCCTCCCCCCACCTTTTCTAGCTCTTGGTGGTAGAGTTGCTGCACCCCACAGATAGTTATTTCCTTGACTTTTGACTATTCTCCTTTTTTAAAACATTAGTTTTCAGGGCCAGAGATTTAGCTCAATGGTTCAAATGCTTGCCTGGTAAGCGCAAGGTCGTGAGTTTGATTCCCAGTACCCTCTCCCCAAATTGATTTTCAAATTCTGGATTTGGCTTGCTTAGACTTGTAATATATAAATTATTTAATCTGATTTTGTCAGTCATCCTTATTCTCTTTATAAAAACAAAGTCAACTGTATTTAATTCCTTTTTTTTTTTTTACCCAGGAATCAAATTTTAGGGCCTGGCACCAAGGTGCCATGCTGCTGAGTGAACCCCCCAGCTCTGTACCTAATTTCTATGAGTAGCTAAACAGTCACCTTTTGAAAATATGTAATTAGGATATATGATAGGCTATATTACTTCAAAAAATTTACTTTAGAAAATTATCTATATATAGACTTACTAAGATCCAATTTTCACTCATAATGTCAATATAAACACAGTTAATAAGATAATGCCTAGAGTGGCCATATGTCCTGATTTATTAAGGATAACCCCAGTTTTAATCTGTTGTCTTACCATAGTTACTAATTATGTAACTTTTCTTTAAAATATCCCAGTTTCACCAATAAACTGTTATACTCTATAAATCTTTCTGAGTAACAACTATAAAGTATCCTTTTAAAAGGAAAACATGACCCTTAATGAGAAGTAGAGAGGAAAAAAGCATTTGTAGTTCCTTTAATACGAGTATGTTCAACTGGTGATATTCTCAGGTTACGTTCTTGTTTTTTTGTTTCACATAAAATCTTAAATAGAAGCTGGACATGGTGACTCACATGTGTAATCCCAGCATTCAGGAGGCTGAGGCACAAGGAGTGCCCTGAATTTGAGGCCAGCCTGGGCTACTTAGGGAGACCCTGGGTAGATAGATAGATAGATAGATAGATAGATAGATAGATAGATAGATAGATGAATCCTTGACCTTACAGTTCTTCACTAGTCTTTCAGTGTTTAAGAACTTTTTACTTTTCAGAAGACTTTGTGATAATTATCCAAGTTTAGTTTTAGAAGTACAGATTTTAACATTCCTATATTCCATGCGGTTTTGTCAAAATACGTTTAGGGTATAGTTGTCCTGCGAAGGGACAAAATTATCACACGCTGAGTGTGTGGAAGCTTATCGCCTTTTCACACAGTGCTGCCTGTCAGGGCCTCTGCACAGGAAGGAGATCAGGAACCGAGGTCCCCTGCAAGCTCTCGCAAGTTCGTGCCTGTTATTTCTCTCAGGTGGGTCTGTAATGAGAGGATCTTGGACTAGGAGAGGCTGGAGTTAGGGAAGGTAAAGACTTCTCTTTCCAGTACTCAGATACAAGTAGTGTGCTCTGATTTTTTGCCTATTACCCTGGCTTTTGATTTCATCTAAAGAGAAATTCTTTCTTTCAAAATGTAGTTAAAATACTTTCTTTGAAGTCGCACTAAGCTGTTATGATTTTCAGTACAATTTGATAGGTAACACTGACATGAAATGGTTTCCATTATACTTTAAATAGAATTAACCGTGCATGTATTTCTAAGAGTCTTAGTTTATTTTTCTTTTGTTACCTTTTTATGGGTTTTCGTTTTATTTTTCTTTTATTTATTTTTTAATTTCTGTGTTCTGGCCATACCCAGGAGATTCGTCTGCTTTTGATTTCTCCCTTAAAAGTTACATGGTAAATTTTCTTTCTCATTCTTCTGAGATGGAAAAATTCAGAGATTATACAAATTTAAAAATACGTTTATGGTGCTCACTCTATTGCTTGTTATTTATTGCAGCCTGAGGCCAGACTAAAAAAAGGTGACAGTTACTCGGCTTCTATATGTCCTTGATGATGAATGGATGTCAAGGCAGGTGATGAAATTCCTGTCCCACTCAGTAAAAGTTTTAATCACAGCCATACTCGTGATAAGCCATTCCTTAATTTCCTAAAGACAGGATAGCTGGTAAATCACCACTGTCACTCTGGCATACTTAACTGATGAACACTGAATTGTTATCATGTACTTTGGGAACTGAGAACTTTACCAGAAGTATATGAGCCTTTGTTGTCCCATATAATGGTCACGCTGAGCGTTAGAAATGTGGAGAGTCTAACTGAAATGTACTGTAAGTGTAACTACAAGAGAATGTTAGGTATCTCAGTAATAATGTTAATACATTTATGCTATACTGAGTTGGTATGTTGTATGTATTAAGTTAAATAAAAAACATTGTTAAAATTAATTTTACTGGGCTGGCAATATAGCTCAGCGACATAAGTGCCTGCCTGGCAAGCATGAGGTCATAAGTTTGATCCCTGGTACCAAAAAAAAAAATTAGTTTAAAAAATTAATTTTACCTATTTCTTTCTGCTACTTGAATGTGATTGTTAGAAAACTTAAAATTACATGTGTGATTCATGTTACAGTTCTTTTGGGTAGCACTGGTATAAACAAATATACCAACATTTTTAAAATTTAGATAAAAAATCTTCATCTTCTGACATATCTGACATATTTCCTCTTTAAGAGTTTGAGATTCAGTGGCAAAGAATTTTTGCCAAGTATTTCATAAACAGAGGACCAAGGATTTTTAAAAATTTAACTTCCCAAAAATAAAAGACCCTATCAAAAATGGGCAGCCAAAATGAACAGACAATTCTCAGAAGAAAGAGTTCAAATGGCTGATAGATACATTAAAAACAAAACAAAATAAAAAAACCTCACACTGGCCTCTGAGAAATGCAAGTTAAAGTTACACTTAAGATACCATCGTACCCCCAGAAAGATTGGCTGGCATCAAGAAATCTAATAATAACATGCTGGAGAAGATGTAGGAATAAAGGAACTCTTCTGTATTGTTGGTAGAAATGTAAATTAGTGTAACCTCTCTGGAAATTAGTGTGGAGACTCCTCAAAAAACTAAAATAGAAATTCCATTTGACCCAAGTATGCCTCTTCTAGTTATCTTCTTAAAAGTTAAAACATCATATTACAGGGTCACATGTATACTCTTCTTTATAGCACCACAGTGTATATATAATAGCTAGATCTTGGAAACAGTATATATGTCCATTAACAGATGAATGGAAAATAAAAGTGTGGTATTTAAACAAAGGAATACCATCCTGCCATAAAGAATGATAAACTTGAGGCACTCGCAGATAAATGGATGCAACTTAAGAGCATACTCTTGAGTGAAAGAAGTCCAGCACAAGCTCAAATATGGCATGATTTCTTAAAAAAAAAAAAAAAATATATATATATATATATATATATATATATAAATATATATGGCAAAAATAAAAGAGAGATAAATAGGAAGTACAGAGAAATCCAAATACTTTCCCATGTTATGTATTCCATTGTTTCAAAGATATTATGATATATATGCTTTTTTCATGTACATTACTAGCTTATCATAGTTTATGGAAAAGAAAGTTTTGTGTTATTACCTGTTTCTTTTTTGTAAGAATCTTTTTATTTTATATCTTGTACTCTGAGTAGCTACCTTAAAGATAATTATATGCAGTATATTAACTATTCCCGTTATGAAATTTTGTTTCATTTTTCATAAAATAAAAAAAAGTTTAAAATTAAGTCTGTTTGTTATACATTATATAATCTGGCACATATCTGTACAGGTTGGTTACTACATTTCAGTGTTTGTTATGTTGTATAATTATTTTGAAGCTGTTTAAGGAAGATCTGTTAGCTTTAAATCTGATTTTACTTTTTTTCCTCCCTTAAGCAAGAGATTAGAATGACCAAATAATGTTAGATTTCTAAAAAGTAAACAACTTTAAAACATGATTTCATGTAAGCAGATTTCCGTAAGTAACTTTTAAACATAGATAATCTGTGACTATCCTTAGGATATTCCAATACCTTTTCTAAAACTTAAAATTTTTATTAAAGTAATAATACATTAAAAAAATTTTAAGCTTTGAGTTATATTATTGAAACTGAAATGTAAGCATGAGAGATAAGGAATCATGATCTTTAGTTTGAAGAAAAATCACCTGGTTAAATTGTCAACATGCAAGAAAACTGTTTAAGAAAATACTCTAAAAACACTGATTATACCTCCACCTTCCTACGTGGATTTTTAATGAGTACTATGTGTAAATTTCCCATACTTCTGATTAAATTACTGTAAAATTGGTGGCTTAAAGCCACACATTTACTGTCTTAACAGTGCTGGGGACTAAAGCTCCAAGGCACAGTGTTTTATTCCTTCTGGAGGAGGTAAGGAATGATCTGATTTCATGCCTTTTTGAGCTCCAGAGGCTGTCCACATTCCTTGGACATAGCCCTCTCTGTTTTCCAAACCAACCATGGCTAGTCAAGTTCTTTCTCAGGCTGCTGAGATCAAATCCTGACTCATGCTTCATGTTTTCATCTGTCAGGCTAACGATTACATTGCAGGCACCAGATTATCAGGGTAACCACCCCATTCCAAAGTCATTAGTCTAATCACGTCTGCAAAATCCTTTGTCATGTAAGATGATGTATTCTCTGACTCTGGGGATTAAGAGGCCGTTCTGCTATGCAGTATTTCTTTTATCTTCGAAGAAGGAAAAAGCCCTCCTACTTTGTGGTTCAGAAGCATCAACCAAGCCTTTTCCTTATGCTATTCTAGGAAAAGTTGCTTGTAAAGACTTATTTTTGTCTGTGATGTCTTTTTTCCTTTGATGTATAAGGACCTTTATTTAAACACTTTTAAAGCAGTTGAAAGTGCAGTTTTGCTCCTGAATTAAGGTATTATTGAGAAATCTTATAGAAACAGAAATTACTGTTAAACTTTTTGTTTGCTGTCAGAAAAATTCAGTGCTTAATAATACCACATTGAATTCCTTTGGTTGCAGTTACTGTGTCACACATATTTTATTATTAGTTCCCGGAAGGAAGGTTGTAGAAGACGTTTCAAAATTAGGTTTGAAAATGAAAATGAGTTTATGAGGATTAACATAATTTAGTAAGTGGAATGTACATTCCAAATTGCAGAGCTAGGTTTCTGATTTTCTTACTATTAGTTACATATCCTTGGATACTTCATCTTAACTTAGCTTTTTTTTTTTGAATACTGGGTATCGAACTCCCAACCTCACACTTGCAAGGCAGGCACCATGCCTCTAAACTGTATCCCCAGTCCTTAACTCAGCTTCTTTACCAAATATAAAATTGATTATATTTAAAACCATATCTATCAACAAATATATATTATTATAATATATATTTGGTAGAGAGTTTGTATGTGATTATATACATTATGTAGACAATGCTAAAATTTAAAACCTTGATATTAGATGCCACATAAATTAATAGTAACTCAACTCTTAATTTATGATTTGTTAATTTATCCAAGGCACAAAATTTACCACTTTGGTAATTAGTTGGATATAGTTTATAATGTTTTCAAGTGTGATTAAAAAATAAAAATCATCACTATCTGTGATCTTTTTTAAAGGGCGTGGCTTTCCCATTGAAAGATTCTCTGATATTAGAGAGCAGGCTTCTTCAGTGGGTGCTAATAGAGCTGACTGATGGCATCCTTAGTTATTAATTTGCCCTGCTGGGATACCTGAAGGTATCAAAATGGCTATAACGTGTTAAGAATAAATTTGCTTCAGAAATTTTTCCCATTAACATTTTCCACAAATTTTGTGAATTCTGTGGAAGAATATTACTAAAAGTACCAGTACTTGTAGTACCCAGAGTATTTTTATCACAAGTAACATTTAAAATTTTGTTAGCCAAACATTACATTTTCTAAAGTACAGTATTTGTATAAATATTCAAATTGTGAATTCTGTAGAGGTAAGCTGTTGGAACCTTTCAGATACTTCTTTCTCATGTAATTATTCAGAATGCGGAGTAATCAGGTCTCTCAGGATGATGGTGTCAGGCATGGTGGCACATACTCCATTCACAGCACTGGAGAGACTGAGGCAGAAAAATTGCTGAGTTGGAAGCCAGCCTGAACTCTATAGTGATATCCTGTCTCAAAAAATAAAAACAAAGGAGATACTTTTATAAAATCTATTTATTGAGCAAATGCACACTATTTACCATCTCACTTAAGGCGGTATTTTATACAGAAAGGAACTCATGCTGTTAAGCAGCAAGGCAGACCATCAGCAATAGTAAAGCATTTTGAGTTATTCTAAAATGGAATATTCTATAGGTTCTAGAGGAACAACAAAGTGATTAGAAAGTGACTTTCCATAAAATCCTAAAAATTTACCACTCTGGTAGGCAGGCATGGTGGTATATATCTGTAATCTCAGCATTCAGTAGGCTGACCCAAGAGGATTGCTTTGAGTTCAAGGCCAGCCTGGACTATATAGAGAGAGTTCAAGACCAGCCTAGACTAATTGTGAGACCTTGACTCAAAATACAGCAACAAAAAATTTACTACTCTGGAAATGTAAATAGCTTCAAATTATTTATAAAATTAGTAGTTGCACAGTAGAAAAATAAGGACTGGGCATGTAGAGTAAAGCTGATGAAAGCTTTATGAAGTAGCTCTAATATTTAGTAAGTCTTGCTGACATTGAACTCAGTAGCATGGTGCTATGGGCAGAAAAGTGAAGTGAGTTAACCCCTGGTCCCCTAATTTGTGTATTTTATGAGTTAAGGCTCTGCTCTATTCTTATAGTATCTACAAGAGACAAATACGTTAAATTAATCGTTATTCATCAGGTACATTGTTATATACTTAACCTATTGAATTCTACACATATATAACTGATGTCAGTAATAGAATTCTTGTTACTAACATAGATTACCTATTGGCTATACCTTTTCCCATGCTATTTGTGCAAAATTATTAATACATTTAATAGCAGATATAGACAGCAATAGATTTTTAATTTAGGCTAATTTAGGTTAACAGTTTGTTGAAGTTTACCTGGGAATATTTTCACTTGAAGGTCTCAGTGTGTTCGTTTAAAATTAGCATTGTAGAATGGTGGCAACTTGCTGTTGTTGAGTGATATTTTCAAGCTTAGAAAACCATGAATAGCCTCCTCTTCCTTTCCTTGTACTACAGAACTGTACCTCAGAAGGACTGTCTCTCTTATGTTACAGTATTGCCCAAGGAATTAATAGTGGTACAAGGAAGAGGCAAAGTGGGTTTAAGATGATTAAACTGTCTAAAAAAATCTCATTTTACCGTGATTGATCTTGAATGGCAGATTTCGTACAGCAGAGCGTATCAGGGAATAATAGGTTTAGGGTGTCAATCAGTTTAATTCTTTTAGTACCTAAGGGAAATGTACATTAACAGCATGAATTGAGAGAGAAGGGTATGATATTTATATTCAAATTCCTTGATGAATAGTTTAACCCGAGTAACTATACCTTAATTTTGGTCTGGTCTCACATGCTTTATATTTTATTTTATTACTGTTATTATTAATTAAATTACTGTTGTTATTATAGTTCTTTATCCTTCTGTTGGGTTTAATTTCCCTTTACAAAATATGCATGGACCAAAACTGTGACTTTGGGAGACTATTGCTGAGTTGTTGTTATGTCAGTTTCATACTGTGATATTTTTTCTCTTATTTACCAAGAGATCAGTATTTTAATGTAACGATGTGCATGTTTTCCCCCCTTCTCCCGCTGCATGCAGGGATTCGGGTTCGTAACTTTCGAGAATAGTGCTGATGCAGACAGGGCCAGGGAGAAATTACACGGCACCGTGGTAGAGGGCCGTAAAATCGAGGTGCATGTCTTCAATAATTCAATTTCTGGTTTATACTTTTATTTCTCTTTTTTTGTATTGCCTCACTTACCTCACATTTGAAACCCCATCTTGTGTGTGTGCACTGAATGTGTGTTTGTATCTCTCTGTTCTTCACCTTTTTGCACTAAAATAAAAAGTAACACTGCTATCTGCCTACCCCCTTTTTTGGTTGTTTGGGACTTTAATTTTAATTTTTTTTTTTTATGTGTGTGTGTGTGTTTCATTTACTTTTTTCCTCTTCCCAAAATGTTCATCTTTCTGCTCTCTTGATTTTTTTCCTTTGCTTCAGTTTGCCAGACTCTGAATTCCTATGATCAGGCCTAAACAAAAGCAATAAGTGTCTAAAAGCTATCTAATTGGTAACATTATGTTCTGTGATCAATCAAGGGGCCAGCCAATATCCTCTTTCTCTTAGGAGGCCAGTTCGCCTCCATTGGAACAGATTATATAGAGGTTGTGGGGAGGGAGGAAAGAACTCAAAACGCCTGTGGTTTTTAAATCTTACCTAATATGAAGAATTTTACCAGTTAATTTTAGATTTTACAAATAACATCCTCAAACATAAGGTTTGGTGGCTGGCTAGTGAGTGTACTGTAACTGTGAAGGAGTCAGCCACCGGGGTTCACCAGCCCTTTAAACTGTACATTGAAGGTTAACTGGCTCCTTTCCCCTTTCCCAGTTTTTAAAAGTATTAAATATAAAAGCCACCATTTGAGTAAGATGTCTGCATATTTTGCTTTTTTCCCCCCTTTTCCAATGGTTTAGCATTTAGGGCCCTTCACTTGACTCACTCTTTCCATCGTAACTATACACAATGCTGGTGATGGTGCCCATTGGCGGTAAGTGGAAAACAAGCGCTAGAGAAGAACCTTTTAAAACATGTAATTACAAAACAATTAAGAAAGAAAAAGTCCATCTGCCATCTCACATTAACACTATAAAATGTGATTTGACTTGTTGTTCCTCTTCCCTTTCCTTTCCTTTTCCCCTTTTATTTTTAATGCTGTTGAGTAATGCCGCCTGGACTTGGATGTACATATTGTTTTGTAGCAGTCTGAGCTGTTTGATTACTGACTTCATGGTGATATTTTTCCCCTTGCACATCTTACTCAGAGTTACTGAACTCCAGTTTGGCTGATTTTATTAATGCACTTCCTGCCCCTACTTCCTTCCCTACGTTTCCCCTTTCTCAAACCTTTTTGTAGCTCTTTCTTTGCCCTGGACTGTTCTTTTACTGCCCACAACACCCTGACTTCTTTTCCCTGCCTCATTGTTCTCTTTATCCAAATTCTTGTTCCTGTCCTTCCCTGTGCTTCCCTTCCCTTTTCTGTTCCATGCAGCTATTGGTCTTTTTTGCGGACTGGTGGTTTCTGATTGGTTCTGGCCACTTTCCTTTTATGTGCTTGGTTGCATTCTGCTCTAGCAGCTGATTTGTAAGCTCTTGCTCCATTCTAACTTTGCTCTTTACTTTCTCCCTTTCTGAAATTGTGTTTTTTTTGTTTTGTTTTGTTTTGTTTTTCCCTTTCATTTGTGTGTGTGTTTTTTTAACTGCATGGTCTCAGTTTCATCATTGTTGTCTCCCATTCTTTATAAATGTGAAATGTTTGTATTATCAAGGGCTCATACAAGAATAAATGCAGTTTCAAGCATTCCTCATGCAGGATGAGCCTCACTGTACAAGTCATAAAAGATATTACAGTGTTTTTAGTTCTTATACTACCTAAAATCCATTTGTGCATAGCATAAGTTTAGCACAAGACAAAATAAGACATTTATATTTTATAATTTCTTTTAAAATTGACGTAGTTTATGACCTATCTAGTGACATTCTGTACTGAGGCTTTACTCTCCTGCAAGAGCTTTGAGGCTGGTCCTGATGCTGGACTACCTTGTCCTAGCTTCTGAGTTCTGGGCATCTTTTTTCCAGCAGCACCTGCTCACCTTAGCACTGACAGTGCTTTATTTAATTGCACTTGTAAGGAGAGTGGAGGGTGACATGAAACAGAAGAATTAAACACTGTTTGCACATTTCAAGTGCCTACCTTACAGGTCTTCAGAAAACTTAAATCCAGACCATGTCATCTAGAATATGTACAATAGTCCCTAAGACTGTCAACGTGGGAATTTAAGTTCCTGTATATTTTTTAATTAGCCTAAAAAAATAGACAAATATCAAAAATGGAAACCATGAAGACTGATGATGTCAAGACTTATTTTTATCGTTTTCCTGTTTTAAAAAAAAACCTTCTTTACAGAAGTGGCAAGACCATTTTATTAAAGAACTCCAGAGTTCATTTGTGAATAAATTATTTCCTGTTTACTTTTTTACAAATTTTTCTTAATGCAGACTTTTAAGGATTTCCAAAGAACTTACAGATTTTTAAAAAAAATACTAAGTGATAAAATAGCCCTAGGTTTCCATATGGAAACTGCATTTTACTCTTGTTAGCCTCATTTAATAAGTATCTAAATTAAAATTTTATATATTAAAATTTTATATTATGTAAATCAATGCTCAGAAATTTACATTTTAAATTAAATGCTGCATTACTGGATTAGCAACTTCATGTTTTTTAATGTGGTCTACTTCTTCCCTGCCCCATATTTCCACTTGTTATTTTTAGGTGAATAATGCCACAGCACGTGTAATGACCAATAAGAAGATGGTCACACCATATGCAAATGGTAAGAACTTACAAATTGTCTGGAGGAAGTGTTATTTATTTTTAAGTAAACACATGAACTTGTGTAAACATCTAAGAATCTCTGTGTATTTCAGTCTTGACAGTTTTGTTTTATTGGTATTGAAGTAGTCTCCCTAAGGAGAGTACTTTATATTTACAGCTTAACGTTTTCCTTAGAATTAAGCTAAGCTTTTTAGTTATTAGGGTGTTTTGTTCTCATCATTCATCTTCTGCACAGTGCGCACATGCCATTTGAACTTGCCTCATCACCCAAACTAGGACTCCTTGAATTCCCTCTTTTTCTCTCAGGTTACTGTAGTTCTGTTGTGTTAGACTCCTCACAGTGTCCCTAGAAGTACAGCAACTCTACCTTTACTACTCATTCATTACTCATGTGAGTATGAGTAGGATAAGTTGGAGGATAAGTATATTATTATCACTTTATAGCTCTAGACTTCTTGCTTTCCTTAAGGCCTGGCAGTAACAGTCATAGTATGTGTATGTGAGAGAGAGAATTTTTATTTCATGATTACAAGTTATATAGTAAGTTTATAAATGTTTCTCAATGAGAAAGAAATTTTTTATGAGTAAGTATCCGAAGAAAAACAATTTTTATATCAGTTTTCAAATTTAACAGATTCATGTTCTCTAAATGTGATAAAACATAACTTTAATCTGTAGTTCCACAGTGATTTTACAAATTATCTTCTACGGAGCCAACATGAGAAAGAATAAAGAGAAAAGCAAACAGGCATCCTGGAATCTCTGGCTTTGTTTTCTTTATGCCTGCCTGCCTGTCTTCCTTTCCTTTCCTTTCCTTTGCTTTGCTTTCCTTCCCTTCCATTCCCTTTTCCCTTTTTTCCTTCTCCCTTTCCCCTATTCCCTTTATTTTCCCTTATTCCCCTTTCCCCTCTTCCCTTCCTGTCCTTTTGTGTCTTTGCCTTTTTTTTGTTTTGGTTTTTTGGTTTTTTGGTTAGGTGGGGAGGGGTAGTGCTAAGGACCAAACCATGAACCTTATGCATGCTAAGTAGAAGCTTTTTCTACTGAGCTGTATCGCCAGCCCTCCAGTTCTGCTTTGGCCTGAAATGCTCTTCATTCTCTATTGTATATCTTAGAGTTCTGTGTAAGATTTTATTTATTAAAAAAGGGATAGTTTTTACTGCTTTCTTTAAAAGTTTGAACTCACTGTATTAGACTAAAGGCTTATATATTAGTAAAATCTTAAATCAGGTAGAAATATATTAATAATCAATATAACCTATAAGGTTTTTGCTAAATATATTCAGTCTAGCTTTTTATACACATTAGAATTTGTCAACATAGTTTCCATTTTCTCTGCCCATTTGAACAGTGGTTTAATCATGAAATACCACTGCTTCTTGCTTTACCTCTTGCTTTCTTATTTTACTGCTATTTTAAAATTAGTTTTTAGAAAGGAGCCAGGAATATAGCTCAGTGGCACAAGTGCCTGCAGGGCAAACGTGAGGTTGTGAGTTCAATCCCTGGTACCAAACAATAAAATAAATTTTAATAATTTTGATAAAAACCCAATGTAAACAAAAAGAAGAAAGAAACAAAGTATGTCAAATTTTCTTTAGATTCAGAGAGAGTGGTATGACAAAGAGAACCTCTAATAGGATTTCAGAAGACAGAACTTTTACTTTTGGATATGACTCTACATTTTGTGTGACATCAGACCAATTTTTTAACCTGTCAGATTATTTTCATATCTGTGTTAGCAACCACAGAATTTTAGTCCCTGCCTCTTTAGAAGTCATCAACCCAACCCTCTCTGCTTGTTTAAGAAAGGAAGCCCGAAGAACTATAATATTTACCTACAATCATAAAAGTGGCACCTGTCTCCCTCTTTGGGCTTTATGAAGGCCAAATAACATCTGTGAAATGTATTTGTGAATGCATTATAAACTATATAGCTAAGCATACTCAGTATTATTAACAACATAACGACTTGCATCCATTTGTGAATTTAAAACGCACTTGAGACAGGGAGTGTGGCTAAACTGTTAAGAGCCCTGGCCTACCATGTGTGAGGCCCTGGGTTAGATCCCTATTACCACAAAAAAATAAAGGAGTGCTCAGGAAATAAGGCCATTGTAGAAGAAAAAATGGTCAATTTTTGGATGTTATCTTAAGTTATTGTTCAAACCTTATACTCAAGAAAACTGCTACTGCTATGTTTACTGGAAGCCTTCCAGAGAATTTTACATCAGAATTTTCATTTATGTTGGTTGAATCATTCAGTTTGTGTAGAAATACTGTGCAGTCTCTTTGCAACATACACAGTTGATACTGCAGAACATTCATGCTGTCATAGTTCAAGTGGGATTTGAATTCAGATTCTACCACAAATTTTATTTAGAATAATGGACACCATCATCAGGAATATATAAAATACCATATTCTTAAGTGCATCAGAACAGGAACTTGAATTGATTGAGACTAAATAGAGTCTCTCTTGAGTAATGCCTTTGCTTATTGCCATTTAAAACTGGTTATTTCAGGGCCAGGGATTTAGCTCAGTGGCACAAGTACCTGCCTGGCAAGTGCAAGGTTGTGAGTTCAATGCTTAGTAAAAAAGTGTTTAGAATAAAACAAAATTCTGGTTATTTCAATAGAATTAGCCTCCATTCATATATTTATAAAGTAGCAATGGCACAGTGCAAGGGAAAGAAATCAACAAAAGAGCTAGTCTTTTAGAAAAATAATAAAGTATGTTTGTTTATTGTGTGTAAAATTCAGTAAACATTTATTGACTAAAACTTTCATAAGTGAACAGTAGAATACTTACTCTTTTTTTGTAAAGCACTTGCTCTGTCCCTATACATACTTTTAAAAGGTAAAGAAGAAATAAAGTGACATGAAATATAAGAAGGTTTAGAAATTTCTAACATTATAAATGTTGAAGCTAATATTCATTAAGCATCTGATATCTTAAAAAATCTGATTCACTTAAATATGTTCATTAAAAATTAAACTACTGAAGTTGGAATGTACCTTGGATTTTATTATTGCATGTCCTTCCTTTTTTACTTGGTGGACCCTAGTGAAATCCCAATGGTAATTTTCAGTGAAAGGGGGTTTCAGTCTACCCAGAAAACCAGCATAATATAATTAACCTGGAGTCTAAGATCCAGGTCAAATTTGAGTCTAGTCAGGAGATAGCTTCCTAAACGCTGTCTCCAAGTACAATACATAACTGAAAAGAACTATGGTGATAACGCCTGTTAGATTGTGTGTAGCAAGGTGTGTTACCATGTGGTACAGAAGGACACGTGTGCTGCCATTTCCCTTTTGCTAAACTCAGAGTAGATCATTTAGGTAGTGTTGGGACAGCACTATAACAAACCCCAGCGTCTATTTCTGTCTCTTTTTCTTGCTCTTCCATCTCCGTCTTCCTTTCTCTTTTCCAGTTTGTCTTTCTCCATGCCCTGCCTGCTTTTCTTCACTCCCTCATTATCCTTTCAGCCATTCTAGTCTTGCCCCAAGACAATTCCATGCCTTCTCATAGAAAATCCAAGCTGGCATTCTGTGTGTGTGTGTGTGTATGTGTGTGTGTGTGTGTGTGTGTGTGTGTGTGTGTGTGTGTGCGCACGTGCAGTTTTTTGAGTCAGGGTCTCACTTTGTAGCCCAGGCTGGCCTTGAACTCACAATGATCCTCCCCTGTGCTGGGATTACAGGCATGAGCCACCACGCCCAGCCCCAAACTGGCATTCTAAGGGAGAATTAATAATAGACAAACACAAGCCCAAAGGTGTCTGAAGCCAACTTAATATGCACTGGTCACTCCTTTTCCTTCGTAATGTAAAGGCTCACTGCCTTCTTTTCCATTTCAGGTTGGAAATTAAGTCCAGTAGTTGGAGCTGTATATGGCCCTGAATTATATGCAGGTAGTATTTAAGTTGTTTCCACTTGTGCTGTTTAACTGTCACAGCCTCTGTGGTTTCAGTTTTCTACCCCTTTGTAATCTTTTTATATTTTTAAATTTTTTAATACAATCAGCATCCAGCTTTCAAGCAGATGTGTCCCTAGGCAATGACGCGGCAGTGCCCCTATCAGGAAGAGGGGGTATCAACACTTACATTCCTTTAATCAGTAAGTAGCCTATGTTGGCCTGGCATGGATTTTTGACTCTTGTGTCTCAACAGTGGTTTGCTGGTTGGTTGGTTGGTTGGTTGGTTGGTTGGTTTCTCCTAGTATAATACATAACTGAAAAGAAACTATTCTCAAGAAGAGCAGTAAATATTATTACAATGCCTTGTTCTGTTTAACCCATACTAGAGTATTGCTGACTGGATATTAAGATGGCCACAAAACAAAAGTAGTTGGATAGAGAGGTGAGGGCGTGTGAAGAACATTCAGTCTGAACTTGACAATAAGGAAAACAAGAAGACATGACTATGTATAGCATGTTATTTGTGTCTTCTGCTGGTCTACGTGAGACTCTCCAGTGGAGTGTCACTTAAAAGCACCTCCAGAATTACCAGTTATTCTCAACTCCCTTGATGTTTCTAAAGTCCTTTTGACCTGAGCCCTTTTACTCCAGCAAGAGATATAATTCAACAGGATTCAGTGGATGTGGAAGTAATGTCTCTGCACATTTTCCAGAGAACAAACATTTAAAATAAGCCTTTAGAGAATGTCTGTCTCTTGAGACCGTGAGAGGGGAGGGATGGTTTTCTTGTCACCTTACATTTTTGCTTTAAAACATTTCAAATAAAGGAATGAAACTGATTAATGAAATGCAGTGTCTTTTGTGTGCCTTGGAGGTGACACCATGTAAAAATACAAAAGAGCATTCTTTTGAGGATTAATTATATTCACATAATAATATTAGGAAACAAGATTCCTAATTGACCTTTTGGAGAGTTCATATCAATCTGGTATAAGCTGTCCACAGAAATTAGAAGTCTTGTCTCTTACTGTGACAGTACTCAGTTTCTCACTAGCTTTCACTGTAATAAAAAAATAGGATGCAGCAGAAGCCTTGTAATTTATGAGTCACGGAATCATTCCTTTGTGCATGTTGGGTCTCCACTTCTTTCACACCTAGAGACATAGAGCAGAACAGACACTGAAGACATTTGTTACTGCTTTTGGGGAACGATGTGATACACAGCTTTTCATCTTTTCTGTAATTGTTTACAATGAGTTGTGACTGTACCTGCTATTGAATGCAAATTGAAATTTCTGTCATATTTTGGGTCTCCCTTTAGTTCCTGGCTTCCCTTACCCAACTGCAGCCACCACGGCGGCTGCTTTCAGAGGAGCCCATCTGAGGGGCAGAGGGCGGACAGTATATGGTGCAGTTCGAGCGGTACCTCCTACAGCCATCCCCGCCTATCCAGGGTAAGCATTACATTCCAAAATCAATGTGTATCTAAAACAGGAAATTGGACAAGATAAAAGAATACCATGGCCCTCTTGAAACTTCTGGGACATTGTTTTGCCACACAGTATGAATATTTGCAAATTAATGGACTAGATGACAAGAACCAAAATATAGCATCATCAGAATGTAACAGAGTGTCAATTCTTTATATAAATCTTGGTTTTGGCCATCTTAAGCCTTCATGGTAAGGGCTTAAGACCTTGGCCAGAACCAGCTTGTGTTCATTAGCAGTGTGTTGGCATGGAGTTCACTCAACAGAGCACGAATATGGATTAACAATACTGCAAAGAATGAAGAGAGGAGCTGGAGATTGTAGTGCCAGACTACATCTGCTGTGCTCACCCCCTTCTTGTCACCTTGTGTTGGGCAAAGGCTGGCACACATGCCCTCCCCTTCGTTTCACTGCCTGGGTGGTGAGCAGCAGAGCTAGTTACCCACAATGGATTTGCTTTCTTTGTAGGACATGGATTAAAAGAGGTTAATTCAAAGATGAACCAAGTCCAATTGAATCAAGGGAGAAAGGGAGAATTAGGAGGATTAAACTGCAGTTGGCTTCTGAAGGATGGTAAAACAGCTGAGGTCGCTGAGCATCCTTCATCCTTTGATTTTTGTGTGGAGGGTGTCTCATGCAGTGGAATGATTCCATAGCAACAAATAAATCCTTTGCTGTTGAAGGGGGAGAAGGAGTGACGGTGTTAGGTTTGTTTCTCTGTGTCAGCCTAACGTGAATATTTTTCCAGAAGTGGACTTTTACGAGTCAGTTGTGCCAAGGACTTTCTTCAGAGATGGGACATTTCTCTTCATCTTTTCTCTGCCTGTGGCAGGTTTTTTTCTGTTTTCTTGCAGAGAATAAATAGTGGCAGAAAAGCCTGTTAGCTACAACTTATTTAAAACATAAAGGAAAAGAGCCTCCTTTGTATAAGCCTTTTCTTAGAGGAAATTTGGCTTCACCTGGAGGTGTACTAATTTAACATTCATTCATTCATAGACCAATTGGACATACCATTAGGAGTCCTCCATGCCACAGAATTAAAGCACTTTTATTAGACAAGGCAAGTATGCATGTGGAAGTGGGCAGGCTCCAAAAGACACTGGAAGGGAACTGCTACAGAAAATTACTTTTGTTTGCAAGTTATAGATGTTTAAATCCCATGCATTCCATCATCTCCATCTTCTGCCATGACTTACTTTTAATTTTATCCTTTTTTCTTGCCACTTGATCTTTGACCTTCAACCTCTGACATCTCTTTAAAGAAACGAATAAAGACACAGTATTGTTTTATCAAAAAAAATACTCAAATAAAACATAAAAATTTCTACACAGTAGGAAAATTTATCATGAAGGTGCTTCCATTTCAATCCAAAAGCATTTACTGTCACATTTACAAAAAGACTGCAGAATAACATGGGATTTCTTTTCTACAAGTCCACATCAGATGCATATTTAATCAAAGGTGTTTAATCTTTTAAGTCTGATCACATCAATTTCTGTGCATTACATTGAACACTAATTTCCCATGTTTTCTTTTTTATTAACTAAACTACCTGTTTACATGGAAGATGGCAAGGAATAAGTCCAGTATTTCATGGGGAATGGCCTGGAATTGCTTTTCAGCTCAGTCAACTAATTCCATCATTAATTGTGTTCTAGCCTCCTTGTGGCATTTTAAATAGAGAATATTGAAGTTCTGAAATTTAGGTGAATATCCCCAGTAAGTGATTTGACTTGGGGCAAAATTTACTGATTTTTTAATGTCAACATTTCACTACTGAATGTTTTTTAATCTTTACCTATATCGCCTTTCTGAAATCACTGAAGGGTTAATCAGTCACCACTTGGCCTCAGTGCTTTCTGTTTTACCAACTTTCTCATTTCAGACAAGTCTTTTTATATACTAAAATGCAACTGAGAAGGAGGTTAGTTTCTATTTTGAGATTTTTAAGTGAAATTACAGACTGTGAAAATGTATAATACTTAGCCAAATAATGATCAAAGATAAGTTTAGTTTGCCTGTTGTGTGGTACAAAGGCATAACATTTGAAACATTGGAAATTGTGACCATACTGTCCTGTAAATGCAGCAAAATGTCACTGAAAATAGAATTCAGGTACTTTTCAGCTGCTTATAAAAAACAAGTTATTTCATACTCACGTTAAAAATATGATTTAATGACCCTACTTCCCAACTTGTTAATTATAACAGAGAAACTAATGATAAAATTTTCCATCTCATTTAGTTGAATGTACAGTAAACAGACCATCTCATCTAAAACAGTCAAATCTTGACCTAACAATTACAAAGAGGAAAATCTTATCTTTTACCTCTACTACTGTTTCATGTCTTATGGTCCCAAAATAATGTTTTGGGGAAAGACTTTCTATGTATATATATAACTACCTCAAAAAGGTTGGAAATCTGTATTTTAAGCATAATAGTAGAGTGTTACTCCAGATTTAAGAAAAACAAAAGATTTACATATTTTGTTTAATACAAAATCATTATCTCAAGAGGAAAACAGACCCTTCTGTTCCTAACCAGCTACCCTCTCCATTTTAATCTTTAAACAAGGCAGGATGATCCTTGGTCATGCCCAGAACTTCAGTTATCAACTGGTTTTTTTCAGGATTCCTTGAGTACTCTTATGGTCAAAAAAAGAATCCTTAAAATCTTTCAACTACTCCTTCCCACTCTGGATTATATTGTTACTATCTGGGATCCCCACTGCACCTTTCAATTCTTGGACCTTGGACCAATCACCTTTAACCTTTAGCTCATTATCTCTGCTTGTGAAAGCAATGCATTGTGGGTATTTTTGGTTGTTTTGTTTTGTTTTTTTAATTACATTTCTCTGTTTACTTTGGTCAGAATTGATTGACTTGTTTTTCTGAGGTGTTGCATTGGTTCTTAAAAATGCTGAATAATAATACTTTGCATGCTTGTGTGATCAGCCAATTCTTATTGCATGTCTAATGTGCAGGGTGAAAAGCAGGTGATGTATGGATATTAAAAAACTTACATTTTACTATGAAACAAAATAATAAGCCTAATTTTGGAAGGTACTTTACATACACATCCTGCCCTAATGGAATTCTTTGGGTTCACTTACTTGATGTTAAACCCCTCTCCATCCCTACCCTTTTAAAAAACTCTTTAAAGAAAAACATCCTGCTAGAACAGAACTTACCTTTTGAAATACTCCAGATATGAACAGTGGATGTTATAGTGCAGCTGATTTGGGATGGCCATGTTAGGCTCTTCGCTCAGTGGTTTTGCTTTGTTAATCTTTCTTTAGTTACCAAATATGCAGATGCTCATTCTAGTTTTGCACACCTTTCACTCTCCCGCATGTCTTGTAGCTGTGTAATGCAAGCGTGCACTTTCACGTTTCCCTCACTGAGTCACTGTGGCCCCAGCCCAGGTTATGAATTCATACATCACCTGCCTGTGTAGAGCGCATGTGCATGCTGCCGTCCTCAATAACCGGAATGTGTTTCTGTTCTTTTGTTTTTTTGTTTTTGTTTTTGTGTGGATTTTCTGCAGTGTGGTTTACCAGGACGGATTTTACGGTGCTGACCTCTATGTAAGTACACACACTGGGGCCTTCTCGACCCCATCCCCTGACAAGCCAGCCTTTTTTTTTCTGTTTCTTTGGTTTGGTTATTTTGTTTCTTGTTTTAGTATAATTTATTTCATTTTTATTTCCTTTTCTTTGTGGACATATATATATATATATATTTATATATTAAGAATGCAAGCATGCTTCTCTGCCACTGCGCTTGCCCCTGGGTGCAAAAACTGAGCCTTTGGGTCTCCTGATTGCTAGGTTCAGTCTACTGGACATATTCTTTTCCCTTCCTATACCCACTGATATTGTGTGTATCTCTGATTGATTTTTGAGATGATCAGCAGGTTTAAAGTCTTTTGTTACTGTTTTACCATTTGCATACATAAATAGCAAGACTAGCTTAGCCTTAAACCAACTCTTTCCCTTCTCTGCTTTTCTTCTCATTTCATATCCCCTTCTAGATCATTAGAGATTTGAATTTTGTACAAGAAAATAAGCTTTCTGAACTATGTGCTTTTTTATTTCACATACTTGGAGAAAACTTAAACTTATAAAAGGATTATAAGGATTTAATGCCAGTGAAGAGTATAGTAATGAGAGGACACCACATATTCAGTGTTTTAAGACCTTTCTTTATACAAATTTCCACCACTAGTGGGTCTCTTCTCTCAAGATCTGGCAGGGGGACAAGAGTGGTATCATTAACAACCTAGACTCTTACAGTCTTTCAACTATCACACAAGGTGTTTTTTTTTTTTTAACTTGCCGTGATAACACTTAATCTGTTATTTAAATTGTTTAGCCAAAGGTGAAGTTCTGTGATTGATTTGTCACATTAAAAGATGGATGAAGTGGTCTGACAAAAAGAGTGAAAAGTTTCAAATTTTAAAAATCTCTTTAGGACCTCTTCAAAGGGTCTTGTTCTGAATGCAAGCTGCATCTAGTCATCCAAGTCATTAAGAAACAATTTTATAAAAAAATCTTGTTAGCATAAGTTATTTTGTGCATATAGGTTAAAATCATCTAGATTACTTTTTTTACCCTTGCCTCCCAAAAGCTATACATAGTACCTTTTCAGTGAACTAATTCCACATTCAACTAGAGCTTCTCTGGCCATGATTGGTTCAACACTCTAACTTTATAGATAGTTTTCCTTGATTGTGACTGGCCAAGAATTTATAAATTATTCACATAACTAAACATGAATGCAGCAAACCTGTATTTTATGATCTCTCTTTATATTTTAAAGGGTTTTTTAAAGTCCCTTTCCCTGTCCCATTCTTTCTTTAGAATGCTTGCAAGAAATAGTAAAAATATCTTTTTCCCCATGTCTACAGGTACATTTGAAGGTTGAGTAAGTCTGTCTTCTACACCAAATTGGCCATTTCTAAATACATATATTTATGTATGGTGTTGCTACATATATTCTCCCATATACATTAGTACCCGATTCTCATTAAAACTCATTTTTATGTTATTTTCTTGAAATCTAATCTAAGAGAGCAAACTTTTCTATTTAAATTAAGTCCTAATCAAGTTTTTTCCTTGTATTTTTTGAGTATTTTTTAAAAAGTATTACCTGGTTCTGTCTTAAGAATTGCGTACTGTCATTTTAAGTCAACCAGTTGGATGTTTGTTATAGTTCTTTCATTTCCTTACTTTCAAATGTAAGATTTTATTGAGAGAGATGATTTTTCTGTACGTGTCAAGAAAATACTTTTTTTTTAAAAAAGCTATTCATTGAATTACCTTATGAAACTAAACAAATAATTCAGTGATCTGGCCAAAATTTTTTTGATCAGTGGTTCCTTCCTGAATATAGTACTTAAAAGTAATTTTATTATCATTTATTTGTACATATTTTAAAGCAAAGCTTCATGGAGAAAAATTTGGTCGCTAGTGCTGAGATAAAGTCCAAGCCCTCTGATGAGAAGCCAGACTGCACTCCATTATGAGACAGCTGCTGAGGTGGGACTAATAGAAGTGGAGCTATTAAAGTGGATAGTCCGTATTCCATGTGTGAGGAGCTAAAGGCTGCTACTTGAAGACGCATGAACAACTTTTCTCCCGTACACTTATTCCTGTATTTGTACATTTTCCCATCTGTAGAAATGTACCCATGTGCATTTAGTTCTCGTTTTTTCAGAAACACATACTAGAATGGAAAAGATAAGATTTTATAGTATATAAGACACACTGAGTCAGTGGAGAAGAAGACTTAGGGAGAAACTAGTTTTGCTTCCAGTACATTGATGGTGAGAGGTTTTTTAAGTTCCTTTCCCTGTCCCGTTCAGACAGTTATTTATCCCTGCTAGCCACTTTCTTCCTCTCTGTTTCTTTGTAGCACATTGCTCTCTAGAGAGCTGATCTAGCAGTTGTGTCCACGACTTATAAAACGACCTGCTGGGATAGGGATTGTGAGAAAGTGATGGACAGACCATGTGTCCATCCCTCCCCCGCTCATTTTTGCTTAGTAGAAAAGGCATAGTTCACCCTAATTCATCTTCTAAGTGGGATAACAAACTACTCCTAATTCTCATTCTGTGAAAAGCATGCTTGCATCCAAAGGAAAGAAAAGGCTGGTGTGGGCCCTGTTGTGGGCTTTTTGTATGATTGTTTTCCTTCCACAGCTGTGTTTTTTGAACTGCTCTTCCTGTGTTCTGTTATAGAATAGTCTTACAGGAACCAATCATTAGCGCTAAAATACCTCAGGTAGGAGTGCCAGTGTGACCTGCCAATCAATCAGATTGTGGATTGCAGTGAAAAAATTGAATTATACTAACCATTCCAGCTCCACGTTAGAGATGGGAACAGAGGCTTTTTTGGACAATCAAGACTTGTGAGCGTGTGATCTAAGCCCTGCTGCCTCAGCAGTGCATACAGTCACATTCTAGGCATAATGGCATTTCCTCCAAAATCACGTGCTCCTGTCCCACTGCCACATATCTGCACCAGGTGTGTTACACACACTGTCCCATCACTGCTGCCTCTTTTAATTTGCCAATCACATTTGCCCTTGGTATTTTATATTGGACGTCTTAGTGGTGGATACATTTTCTTATGACTGAAAAGTAAAAAGGGAAGAAATAGAACTCTACCCAGATATGATTTAGTTGAGTCCCACATTGGGCCCTGTAGTAAAATCCTACTAGTGATTGGACTATGCTACTACTTAGGTTTGAAGTTGCTTTGAACTCAGAAACTGAGATACTAATTTCTCTTGCCTTCTTTCACATGGGAAAATTAGTGAGTTCATTTGGCTAATAAAAAACTTGTTAAGAGGTTTCCTGATAGCTGGGTGCTAGAAGGTAGATAACACTCAGTGGCTTTTAATAATTCAATTACTTTATTTATGTGGCTACCCAGTGAGATTTTAGAATTAACTAATTTGAAGACATGTGGAATAGTAAAGTGTTTGAAAGATTTGATTCATTAAAGATCCTTTGTCATGTAATAGAAGTAGTAAGTTGAGGACACCAGGTTGATCATTATGTCTCCCCTTGACCCCAGTTTTAGATAATAATAATAAAGTAAAATATAAATGTCACTTTTCAGAGTATATAGATCTCTGTCAAAAATAGTAACTGTAATACCATTATATGTTTTTTTGAATTTGAGTCTGTTATTCACATTTACTCATAGGTGCCATAGTGCCACATAAGAATCTAGTAATGTTTCCTAAAGCAGTGATTTTCAGCTGGGGTGGGGAAGCAGTGAGGAAAAAGAAGACAGAATCATCTAGGGGCAAATAAAGCGACTCTCAGGGGTCCCGCATGCATTGTCACTGACTGGAAGAGACCTCTGCTCTGCTGCAGTGATTATAAGCATCACACTGAAATGTCCATCTCACTCCCACTCCCCCTCCCACACACACACACACACACACACACGTGCACAAACGCACACATGCACACACACACTCACTTTGCTGTGTTGATCTAGTATACTACATGAGGTAACAAACTTCCATTCTGTCTGCTGGTCTTGAAACACACACCCTCCTTCCTCCTCAGTGTCACATGATGTCATTGTCTTTCAGGTAGAAAGAAGTTGTCTTGACATCACATGCTCACCAAAGTCCTGTTTTAATGTAAACAGAAAAGGGGGGATAGTAATATTAAAGGTGATGTTAAAATTAAGGTGGCAAAAGTCTGCCAGTGTGAGATTGATAAAATCAGTTTAAGATTAAACTATACGTAGATGAATGTCACAGATACAGGAATGATACTTAAGACTCTTGCTTCATGTTCTAATTTAAAACACAGTTCCAGAGCTCTGCAAAAGAATACAGCCAGTATGGAAACATCATCAAGTTAATTTGATGATAAAATGGATTTAGAGCACAGTAGAAAATCCCAAAGTGACATTGAGCCTTGGGAAATTTCGACTTGAGACTTCGATGTAACAGCTGCAAAAGTCATTACAAAAAACACCTTAAAAGCAATAGCATTTCCCTTTGAAAAGCTAAAGGCAGTACAAATATGTAAAAAATAAAATTCTTGAGTGCAGGGAACATATGAGTAGAACACTGTGAATCAGAATATATGGTTGTTGGCAGAAGGTGAGCATACACGGGAGTGCTGTGGGTCAGGGTTGAATTGGCACCAGGGTAGGCATCTGGAAGAGGGAAGTGGTAGAGCATTAGGCTACTATGTGATTGGGAATGCTAGGAATCATTCAGAGGGAATTGCCAAGGAGTAAGAAATAACTATTTTTCAGTGGGCGTGAGTATATTTGCTCAGGCTTAGCCATGCCAAATTTATGCAGCCCTCAGAATTCCAAAAAGCTGTCTGTGTGCCCTCCTACATTAGGGTGTGCTGTGGCCATGCTAATCCCCATTTTTTGTTTTATTTCAAATCACACACAGATAGAATCTGCAAACTGCTTCAGATCAAACAGGTCTGATTGTGTGTAAATACATATGTCCTTTTAATTTTTATTATTAATGGTTGCTTCAGTTTTGCATCAGTGCATGGTTAAAAGCAATACACATCAGCTATTCATGACTTCATATCTCCAAATGAATTATTTCTCCTCTTTTTTTTTTTGTTTGTTTGTTTGTGCAGTCAGCTGAAGAAATGTTAACATCTCACTCTAAATCTCTCAGTGGAGTCTCTGTTCCCTTCTCTGATATAACAGATGGGTTACTGCTTGTTATAATTATTAACATTGTGGTGTGGGCCAGGGCTTGGGTGGGCAAGATTTACTCCTCCTTTGGGCTGGGGTGGGGCCAGTTGTTAGGGTATGGAATGTTAACTCAAGTGGTGACTGACTGTTTCCGTAATACCAGGTCGTTGTGGCTGCACGCTCTAGTAATTGAGGCTGTGTACTTCACCAAGCTTGTGGTAGAGCCTAGGGCAAACCGCTGTCCCAAGAGAATGCTGGGATAGATAGAGTTAGCCAATATGAGTCTGAACGTGGTGATTTTGCTGGTTGTTTTAGCTCCAGATGTTGGCATGCTTAGTTTTTAATGTGATTAATAAATGTGGCGCCATATTCCCTCCCCACGCCTGAACCCTCTCTCTCCTACTCCCTTCCCACCTTGTTCTTTTTTGAAAAATTTAAGAAACAGTAATGTAAACTTTGGTGTTTCAAACTGCACTTTGTTCTCATGTTCTATCAAAGCCTTCAGAGTTGCTGGTAGAAGTGAAAGTTGGGAAAACAGTTTCTCAGCCTAGAACCTCAATGCACTCTGAATTGCAGCATACAAATAAATTGGTCCAAGTGCCGAGTGTGGTGGCTCACGCCTGTAATCTCAGCACTCGGGAGGCTGAGGCAGGAGGATCATTGTGAGTTCGAGACCAGCCTGGGCTACAAAGTGAGCTCAAGGCCAGCCTGAACTGCATGGTGAGACTCTGACTCAAAAAAACAAATAAATAAAATAAATTGGTCCAGATTTTATCTTACATTTTGGATATATTTTGTTGAATAACCAATTTAAGCAGGAGTCGGAATACTTTGGAGGAAGGCTATAGATCTAAGAAGTAAATCCATTATATACTGTTTAATTTTTCATATTTCAAGAGTAGTCATTGGTGAATTACCAGATTAGTTAAGCAGAGTAGTACCAACCATCCCAAATATAGCTGTTTTTTAAAGGACTTCTCTATAATGTCATTATCATGACGTCATTAGGAGAGTAGATACGTTGAAGTGTACTATTAATGTAGTTTTCCTTAGTGCTAATACTCTTCCAGAGCCTGTAGTTATCAGTAAAATGTTTGCATTCATGTCCTGGTTCCTGAATTTGAATCACAAATAACCTCATCAAGTTCAGACACTATAATAAAAATTTATTTATAGAAGAAGAAAACCACTGCAGCAGCCTATCCATTCCTTCTGGGTCGGAAGGGGTGTTCTTTCCCACAGTCTGATCCGTTTTTAATGATTTGGATTGACAGTGACATTAATTCTAAATTGAGTATTGAAGGCCTTCTGGCCTCTTGCAGGCCAAAGAAAATGAGCAGTAAGAGTCCTATCAGGAACCTCACTCAGAACCTCTTTTTCCCAGGACTAGTAGAATTCAGCTCAAAGCCATGATTTGAATGAATCTTCACAAAAAACGTCTCTACTCAGGCACTGTGGAGGTTGGGTAAGGACTCTTGCCCTCTCCTCTTCCTGTATCAGGGTTGAAATTTGATATTAGTGCTGCTAAATTACCTTCCTGCATATATACTCCCCATTTTGAGATAGGCTCTCCCTAAGTTGCCTACCTGGATGCCCTCAAATTTTGCTTCAGCATCTTGAGTAGCTGGGATTACAGGTGTGTACCGCTGTGCCCAGCCATGAAGTGAAGACTTAAGCCACAGAGTCCCTTGATGAGAATCTATACCTCTGCCCTAGGTAGATGCCTTGGTTTTTAAGTGCCTCTTCCTAGGTAAAAGTGAATCAGGCTTTAACTGCCTTTATTACTTTGATTTAAAATTTTTGAAAGTTATTTTTGGTGTTTGAATTATCCTTGTTTACAAAGAACTTTTACTAAAGATAGCCCGGCTGTAGTCTTCACATGGGCTATGATTTTTTTTTTAGGGCTTTAATTCTTAAAAGCCATCTCTAATTATAATATCCTCAACTTTTGCTGGCATGTGGCACATTATGATCTCAGCCACTTAGGAGGCTGGGGTGGGAAGATCACTTGTACTCATTAAGACCAGCCTGGGCAACAGTGAGAGTCTCAAAAAAAAGTATTTTGTTTTGTTTTGTCAACTATAAAAATTAATTTTTGCTTTATTTAAAAATTGCTTTTACTGCTTCGTGTCTTACTTATTTATTGGTCTTTTCGAGACAGTTTTACTATGCAGTACAGGTGGGCCTTGAACTCACTTTGTAGTCAGGGTGGCCACAACCTCAAAGCAATCCTCCTGCCTCAGCCTCGTAAGTGTTGGGATTACAGGTATGCACCACCACATCTGGTCTCATGTCATGGTTAGAAGGTTAAAAAAATAAGGTAAAAAATAAGTGATTCCTTGGCTCACAAGCTTCATTTGTTCTACAATTTTGGAAAGGTGACCTCAGTCCTATTTGTTACCCAATGCAGAGTTTGCAAACAGAAACAGAATTTTGCCAAATGCTTCTGTTTGCAAACATGTACATTCGTGAACCAAGGTACCACTGTACTGTAGTGAATTGTATGTTGCGACCAGCATATAGTTACACAGCTTTCCCCAAGTCAGTCCAGCCTGCCATTCCTAAAGACCTAACTAGAATTCTAAGGAACTTTTAGTTGCAAACCGCCCTGTAGGGTGTTTTCCTGCTTTTTCCCCACCCACCACCATTTATTGCCTGTGTTTAGTAATACTAATTATAATCTCCTGACTTTTATCAGTATGTATAGAAAGTTTTGTCAGTGAAAGGAAATGTTTCTTTTTCCAAGTCAGTTGGTAAATGAAAAAAAGAGTAACACAACTGCTGGAAGCAAGTCAAGAAACTTTTGTAACATACGGAATAACCTTAACGAGAGTGAAATTTCCCTCACTTAGCAGTTTCTTCAGTTAGAGAAGCATATATTGCATGAGAATGACGCAGAAATATTTAGAAGCTCAAAAAATTATGGACATTTCCAAAATAAGATTTAACAGAAATAAAAGAAGCAAGGTAGAAGTTGCTCGAAAGAAGAACAGGAATCCCATTAAAAAATACTCGTTTTCAGTACTATAGAAAAGATATAGAAATAAGCAATTAGAAATAAAATTGACATTTCTTTGGTAGATTTAGCAAAAACCAAACTTTTGAAATATGTGCAAAATAAAGAGCTTGGGAATATAGCTCAATGCTAGAGCAGTTCCCTAGCAGGCACGTGCAAGACCCAGGATTCCAGCCCCAGTACTGGCCCCCAAAAAAGTTTTTTAAAAAGAAAAAATAATAGAAAGGTTTAAATGTTCATCAGAAGGGGCTGGGGATTTAGCTCAGCGGCAAGCACCTGCCTTGCAAGCACGCAGTCATGAGTTCAATCCCCAGTACCGATTAAAAAAATGTTCATGAGAAATGAACATGCTTAATCTACCGCAATGAAATAGTTCTGCTATTGTTCATTACTGAAATGATATCCAGATGGACCGTTCAAACAGTTACCATATCTTTCATAGTAAAAGGACAGTAATAAGAATTTGCATCTGAATTAGGTTTAGATAAGATAGGTGAATTCTAGAAATATAAAGAAAAATTAGGGCTTGCCAGACTTGGTAGCACAAACTCTGGAGGCTGAAGCTGAACGATTGCAAATTTTAGCCTAGCCTGGGCAACATAGCCTCTGTCTCTGTAGACGTATGGACTTACCATTCTTTACAGTAGCTCGTCTCAGGGGACATTTGTTGTGGTGATTGTCTTTGAAGTACTTTCTAAAACAGGACATATGGTTCACTTTTAAGTATTTGGTTCATCTAACAGAGGTGAAGTTGTTCCAGATCTATTTGAATCCAGCCTGAGGCTCCTCAGCCATTTGTAGTCTGGTTTGCCAAAGTCTGAAACATAGACTGACTTTTTCAGAGTGGGCAGACTTTTTCTGTGAAGGGCTAAGTGGTGAATATTTTTGGCTTTTTTAAGCCACACTGTCTCTGTCACAAGTGTTCTGAAAAACAATGGGCAAATTGCATTAGCTCCTAGGCCCAAGTTTGTTGGCCCCGATCTACTTTGTCCTTTCATTTTAAACACCACCTGATCTTAGCAAGCACCTCTCTTAGCAAACACTGGAGCAGTGGAGCAGAGCTCTCTATCAGACGTGGCTGCAATAAGCTGTAGTGTCTTTGTCATGAGTCAACCCAGGTACATTCAGAGCATATGAAGTTAGCACATGTAAATGCAACTTATTGTAGCTGTTTACATTTCTTGTCAAGTTCTCCCATTCTGTGTTTTCCCTGTTGAAAGTTCCAACAAAGACTGAAGTAAGACAGATCCAAAATCTTGTATCTCTTGAAATTAACAGGTACCATCAGTATAACTTATTTTTGCTACTGTCACAAATTAGAAAGTATATTCCTGTGTTTGAGTGGGGCCTAATTTCCTGTCAGAAGAGTAACATGCAGACTGATGCAGTTTGAAACATTCTCTTCCCATGTGTGTGTCCATGTTCGTGTCTGTCTCTGTGTCTACATGTGTGTGTCTGCGTGTGGGTGGGTGCGTGTGTCTGTCCCGGGGGAAGGTATCTGTAAAGTCAGTTCTCTTCTCTCCTGTAGGGTGGATATGCAGCCTACAGATATGCACAGCCTGCTACTGCAACTGCAGCCACAGCTGCTGCAGCCGCTGCAGCCGCTTACAGCGACGGGTAGGTACGGTGCAGAGCGAGCACATGCCACCCACAGTGCCACCCCTTTGTCCTCTCCCGCCTGTCCCAAGGCAGCACTCAGGCCATGCGCTTCCTGCCGACCTGCTCTTAGTGTCCTTTGTTGTGCCAAAGCACAGCTACTGGGTCCTCCCTGCTCGCACTGTCTTGGTCTTGCCTCACCTCGCCCTCACTTCCAACTCCCTTCTCTTCCGTTTCATAGAAGTACTCCAGAATTTTTTAGTTGTTATGTTCAAGAGTAGAAATGGAAAGGTTTTTACCATTTTGCCAGTTCTTCCGATGAAAGTCCAAGACCTAGTGACACATCAGGCATTAGCACAATTAACCCTTTAATTGGCTTAGATTGCAGTCTTGCCTGTATCTCTCTGATTGTACTCTTTTGTTCCAGTTATGGCAGGGTATACACAGCTGACCCCTACCATGCCCTTGCCCCTGCCGCTAGCTATGGAGTTGGCGCTGTGGTAAGTAGACACGTACCTTTCTGCTTAAACCTTTTTACTCTTCCTAATCTTTACCTACAGACTGTAAAAGATGTAGGGAAGGGGTAAATTCAGCGTTTTGTGTATTGCCTACATGTTAAACCAGATAGGTCTCTTGGAAGGTAGACACCCATCTTCATTGCATGCTGCAGTACTGGCCAAGTGGCCTGTAGGGGCAACAGAAAGGGATGGGTAGTGACAGTCTGCCCTGAGTAATGGCATCATTACAAGAGGAGTAAGGGAACAGATTGATGTTTTACATCAATTCTGCTGTTAGGTCCGTGCACCAGTGGCATGGTGTAATTGATTGGTATTGGCAGGCACCTATCTGGAATGTAAGGCTCTCAGTTTTTACTGTAAGCTTTCCAAAAACCTTAATGTTTATAAATTTTAAATTGCAGATGCCAAAGGAATCCTGTACTGTTCCTAAACCTGATAGATAATAGTAGGGCTGCCAAATGAATATTTACGGTATTTTATCCGCAACAATTGTGACAAACTATAGTGTTTGTTTGGAAATGAGCTTGTCTGAAGTAGTCCTCTCTGACCAGAACCCTCACTACCTATTCTTGTTGGCTTGTAGCAAAGCCCACCATGCCATTGACCAGGACTCATTGGTGACAGCAGAGGACTCACTGGTGACAACAGAGTGACACTGCTAATACCAGGCATTCTCTGCAGTTCAGCCACTGCCTGTGAACATGGGCACAGTTATCCAAATGGGGAACAGAATGAGGGAGAAGAGTCAAAATGTAAAGGGTTGTGAAAGTGTCATTTCTAATTGTGAATTACTACTGATACAGATTTGAGGAAGTGCTAGGATCCTTAAGGACTGTATATTTAGACTGCGGTCAAGGCAACAGTATAAGAATAGTGATGGTGGTTCCTGAGGTCTTACTCACTGTCAAATTATAAAACCCCTATTCTAAAAGAAAGATACATTCCTGAGGAACTTCTCATTCAAAATTGTAAGCCATCAGATAAAGCCACTTAATAAAAGAAGCAGCCTCACTGATACAGAATCAGTCATTTCTGTGCATGGGTTCCACATCTGTAGTCATCTGAAATACTGGGCTGGGGGGTTGTGTCTAAGAATGTGCACAGATTTATCCTACTTTTCATTATTTTCTAAACTGCAGTATATCAGTGATTTACATAGCATTTACAATGTTTTGGGTGTTACAAGTAATTAAATGATGATTTAAACTGTATGAGAGCATATGCAGTGCTTACGTGCAAATACTAAATCATTTAATATCAAGAGCTAGAGTGTCTACAGGTTTGGGTACCTATGGAAAGTCCTAGGAAATAATACACAGATACTGTATTTTACAGTGTCGGTTTTATTAGTTGAAAGGTTTATAAGAGCCTAACTGCAGCATCATCTCAAATGCAAGATGGGAAGTAACCCACACCTTTGATAGGGCATGTGTAAGAAGGGGAAGTCAGCAGTCTGTTCTCAGTCAGGATTGTAATGATCTATCAAAGTGAACAAAGACCCACCACTGAGAAAACCATACTAATTGCAGAGTAGTTTAAAGTGTTGTAAGTTTCCCTCCCATGTAAATCGTGAGGTAACCATCATCACACTGCCCTGGAGACCTCCAGCTCAGCAGTGTGCATGGCTCTGGTCTGAGTTGCAGAGGCAGAAGCAGGTTTACTAATTTTGGTATATCAGGCAGCCTCTGATCAGTTGTGAGGTGTCAAAGGAAACTGTTTTCCCAAATTCCTGCTCAGAACTTGCTTATTCATTTTCAGTGCTTCACTCATCAACCTTTTAATTATGTTTATGTTTTTAATTACTGCAGGCAAGTTTATACCGAGGTGGCTACAGCCGATTTGCCCCCTACTGAAGTGACGTGAGACCCCTGCAAATGGGACAGCCCCCAGTCATGAGGCCTGGCTATTGCAATATTTACTAGTAGAGGAACTCTATAGCAAGATGAAGAGGAAAAACAAACAGACAAAAAAAAAAAAAACCCACAAAAAAAGAGAGAATACTTTTTTATACCTCACTATGTTCTTTGAATATGTATTTTTCCTTTAAATTTTCTGCCTTTAATTCTTTTGTTCCAAAGATTGTGCATTTTTCCTTTTTTTCTTTTTTTTTAAATTGTGGTTAAAAAAATAAGATAATGCATTTCCATGTCTGTATGTCCATGCTTAGCTTATTCTATCAATCATGGAAGAGGCAGTTAATGAAGGAGAGACATTGGTAGCTGATAAATGCATTTGATCAGAAATCGGCAGACAGAATTACCAAAGTGTATCTGGTGCTGTGTGGCTGAGGGACAAGCAGAAGTAGAAGAGATCTTTCTGCAGCAGCGTATTCTGTAGTCTTCTGAATTTCTGGTCTGTGGCAGGTGGTTCTGATTGGCTGTGGCTGGAATCCACAAGCCAATAGATAGGAATTTGTGTTTGCTAAGCAGGAGAATTAAACACTTTCCTCTCCTCTTCCTTCATATCTTCTCCATACTTTCTACAATCATCTTAATACAAAGCCTGAAACAGTTGGCATCGTTTTTGGAATTACAGTATTGATATTTCCAAACATGCCCTCAGGCTGAATAATAAACACCTCATTAGGAAGTCAATCTCAGAATGAATTCTGGAGTATGAAAACACTTAATTCTTTTCTTCCCTGTAATCTAGCTTTCCTGCTGGGCTTCTGATCCCCTTCAATTGAACCACAGCTTAGCTCATGTATTCTTTTATTAATGTGCTGCTCCCATGTCCTCAAGATTCAGGAATTTAGGACCCAGGGACAGAAGAATGAATAGCCAGTGGCCAGATTTCCCCCAGGTATATGGGGACAGCGTGAGGATTAAAAGTACAAAGTGTTTAGAGCCATTAGAGGGGCTGCAGAAGAGAAAAGGAATCCTGGAAGACCTGATCTTCCTTACCTTGCATCAAAATGTAGTACAAACTATTAAAAATGGAATAAAGAATCTCTTGGGGAAAGATAAGGCACCAAGCCCAGGGGTCAGCTGTCCCTGGAAGTTTCGGTGATGAGGACATGTGAGGGCAATCAGGGGCGCTTTGTACTTGCTCCAAAGCCATAGGAATTTTCATCTTCCAGAGCCTCCGCAAGTTCCGTCTCTACCCAGTCTCCAGCCCTCATGGCCATTGCACCCAGCTTCTCGTTGCCCTCCAGAGACACCCAGCTGAGCACCTGGACTACCTGGTGTGTGTTAACTCTGTAGGACACAAGCTCCAGAGCCCACAATGGGAGGAGGATTTGACGTGGCCGGGATCTTCCTGCAGGGCCACAGCAGTGAGTCACTGCTCTTGCTGTCTGGCTTTGGTTTTATGTTACCAAAATCAGGAAGAATGTAGTTCTCTTCCAACTCTTGTAACTGATCAAAACAAGCATCCTACAGCATTTTCAAAAAGAAGGAATTAGGAAATAGACAAGTGTGTTGATCTGCTTGGCTCCCTGGTTGGTTCCGTTGGTATCGGAGTGACCTTTTACCCAAAGGATAGCTGCTGAACCGAGTAATTCAGAGACATGGAGCTTCTGCTTTGTTGTGGGTTTGGTTTGGGTTTGTTTTTTCACTGCAGCCTGCACGTGTGTTCTTGACTGAAAACATTCGTGTCCCTTAATTAAAATGACTGATGGATGTATGACAGCATGAAGCATTCTTTGTAAACAGAGTGATGTATCTGGGAGAGCACTGGCCCGTGCTGTGTGACACACATCCTCTCCCCTTCAAATCCTCTGTCCTGGTACCCAGGGAGAGCATGGACATGAAGTAAAATGAGATGTCAAGGAAGCTGGAGGCCTCGATGCAATCATTGATCCTGGGGACACACAGAACAGGGACAGCCTGCCCAGCCCTTGGGCTGTTTGTAGAGTCCCTTCCCCCAAGCCAAAGTTTGGTTTGTTGTTGTTAAGACAATTTTTGTTGTGTGTATATAAATATGTTAGGTAGGAGAAGGAGGATAGGATGTGGAGCTCTCACAGTTCTAGGGAAAGGGGGCAGGGAGAATTTTGTTTGTTTTCTTTTGCTTTTGTATTGAGGGGAAACTTTCACTAACTAAAGAAACAGAGAAATTTTGGTCATGTACAATAAAGGCCTTTCTCACAAAATGGCAAGCCACTCAACCCAGTGAAAACTAGGCCAAATCTTACCTGGCCGTGTCCATAGCAGGGGAGGAGAACAGGGGAATGAGTTTAAGAATGTTTTTCTTCTTTTTTCCTAGACAGAAATAAGGATGATGGGCAAGGTCGAGAAGGCAGATTCCCACAGTCCTTCCCAAGCAGGCAGAGGTTGAGCCTGAGGTACTTCTGTACCTTTCAGTTCGGCGGGTTCTGGCTGAGGCCTTGGGGGCGAGCTTCCCTTGCCAGTTCGACCAGCTGCCTCTCCCAGAATGCGTCTTAATGCTACTTCCTCAGCTCCCTTTTCTAGGGAAGATTAAATGGAGTTCTGCTCTTTATAAAAAGATGTTTGGTTTTCAGGGTCTGTGCTGAGAATCGAGATTCTCCTAAGCATCTAGAGTTCGTGATACCAGCCCTCCCCATTAACTTTGAATTTTGAGAATGGTCAACGTCATGAGAGGCAGGTTCCTCTGCAGCAATGCCAGATGACTCTGGTTCTTACTGGGTTCCTGGTTCTTACTGGGTTCAGAAACTGAGTCCATGGAGTTCGGTATTTTGTGAGTTCATTCAAGGATGCTGGTTGATATTTCCAAAACACTTAGCGATACTGAGTCACAGTACATGAATGAGTTTGTTGAGTTTTACTGTAGTTCATGACCTGGACTTTCTCTGCTGAGCACCTTACTCTTAGAAGCTGGGCTCCTTTAAGGAGACCTCTAGTGAAAACCTTTATCTGAATGCTCCTCTTTTAGCCCAGAGAGCTTCCCTTAGGTCTTCTCCAGAAATCCATGTGTTACTTAGTTTTAACTCCCACAGATTCACCTCCACCATTGTGATTCACCATTTTTAAGGCTCTCAGGTTTAACAAAACCTATCACCATTGTCCTCCAGCAGCCTCAGTCTGAATTGAGCCCCACTGTATTTTCTTTCTTTAAAAAAGAAGTGGACTGAGGCTCAGTTTTTAGTTTAAGGAGAGCTCATGGCGATTAGTCAATAGAAATCAACAATAACAGCTTTTCCTCACATGTGGACTCCTCAGGGGCCGAACAGCTCCTAGTTTAGGTTATCCTTTGCTAGAGATGTAGCAGATAAGCCGGCTGTCACCAGTTTTATCCCTGCCCACATAGCTTCCGGGTATGAGGGACTGTCAGGCAGGGATGGAAGCAGCCCTAAGGATATGATAACCTCTTTCCCTTCGGCAGGCAGGAGAATAAGGCCGACCAAGGGCCAGTCTGGAAAGCACTTAAGACATTTAAGGAAGAAGAGGGGAAACTGTGGTGAACCATCCCCGATAGCCCAGTGCAGCCTGTTCTCTGCTGCTTGCAACCCTCTAGCACAGTAACGTTTGCAGAATTACGGATTTTTTCCCCCACAGATATTAGGAGGAAAGGGATTTGGGGGTGGGGTGGGGAAGGGGTTGTGGTGTTTTAAAAGCATAAGTTTCCTGTTTGCACTGTTTTAAGATAGGAAAAAATAGTGGGCAAGGTGAGCATCAAATGTAAGCTTGTGTGTTTTATTTTGTCATGCTCTTGAAAATGTCTGACATTTGTAGTATACACCAGTGACACTTGATTCTCTGTTGCATAAAACACTATATTTTTTTGGAAATGTTACTGTCCAAAAGCCTCTTACCTCCCTTTCCTTCCTACATACTTCATCCTTGCTTTATTGATCAGCCAGGCAATAGCCATGCACGAGCTAGAGCGTGAAACAGGGCCCTTTCCAAGCAGGCTCTGGGTGTCCTAAGCCAGCGTGTGCCCTCTGGGTTACTGAGAATAGTAGAGTCCCTGGCACCTGTCTTTAAAAACAAGGCTCACAGGCCAGACCACAGCAAGCTGTCACGTTCCTCAGTGAGACACCAGGAATGCAGCGCCAAGGAATGGAGGGGTTCCTGAAGTATTGCAGTTGGCTGGCGTGGCAAGTTCTTATCTATGTTACCGAAACTGTAGCCAGTTACAGTTTACTCAGGAAAACGGTAGCTCATTCAGCCATGGTAGTGCTGGTTGGCAGGGATTGGTAACTGAAAGGACTGCTCATCAGCCAAAACTCAAACCTTGCCTTTAAGGAGACCCATCAGCGTGGGACTTGGTCCTCCTTGTCTGGGAGTCACATGCGTGCCAGTGATGTAAGGCTCCATTCACTTTGGCAAGAAAAAGGAGACAGAAATTCTCTTTTCTCCCCCACCGCCTGCTCCTGTTACCAACAACAGATTGCAGGGCTGGGCACATGAGTTTTTGAGATTTTTCAAAAAAATTTTTCTTGATTTGGTTATTCTGGAGACTGATAAGTACTTTAAGCAATGTCTGTACCCCACCGAGACTCCCAGCTTGGTCTTTTTTTCTTTTTCTTTTTCTTTTCTTGTTTTTTTTTTTTTTTTTTTTTTTGTATTTAATGTTCACAGTATTTGTGAGTGTGTGTGTGCTTGTTTTGGCAGTTCATTTTGGCTGATATATATATATATAGAGAGAGAGAGAGAGTGATGAATTGATCCTCTCCCCCCCACACGCAGTTTTTGTTTTGTTTTATATTTTCTTGTGTTACTCTGCTTGTGAATAGCTGGAGCCACGCTGGGGCTGACATGTAAGCTAGGGCTGCAAAGTGAGAAGAGAGCCAGCGGAGTTCACTTGTCCTTGACAGGCTGACCGACCTGTGACTCTGAACTTTTCAGTCCCAATCTTTGCAAGGCTCAAAATGCCGCAGAACCTCTCCTCTCCTCTCCACCCCCATGGCAGGGACTGGCCAACCCGACATGCAACATGCAGTTTCTCTGGCCTCTCCCGTTGCCATGGCAGCACAGGTACCTTCGGGGCACGGGGGCATCCCATGGGATGCTTGTACAATTGACCACCTAGCCTTCTCCCCTCCCCATCCTGTCCTCCCCAGAATCACTTCCTAGGACACCCGAGCTGCTTGCCCAGGATCCTGTTTCCCTGCTAACTCCAGAGAAACATCCCAGGGCTTTGTGACAGTCTCTGATTCCTTTTCCTTCTCATTAAGAATCATATTGTATAGTAGCTTTCAGACCATACAGTATTCATTGGGTTACTCCTATTATTATCAAGTAGCTGGAATTGTGAAGGTCGGAGTAGTTAGATCTTTAGCTTTTATTCCTTTTTTTTTTGTATTACTCTCCATGTGTATAAATTATTGATCATGTTGCTGGCTTTTATAAACTCTAAGCAAAGGAGGAGCACTGCCTCATCCTTTGCCAATGGTAATGAAGCACTGTTTTTCAATAAAAGAGAGAAACACCATTCTTTGGCCTATGTGTATTGATCTTTATTCCCTGTCACTTCCACCTGAGGCTCAAAAGTGTGTCTTGTATTTGATGTCTTAAAATGGGAGTTCAAGGAGGAACCCTGCAGCCCTCCCCAAGGAGGACATGGAGTTACAGGCTGTGCAGTAGCAGCTAGAGCTGTGTACAGAGCACCTCTGGCTCCTCCTGCAGAGCTCCCCATGTTCTCCTTGCAGTTTAGCTCTCCATCCTTCCCTGGACTCTGGCTGCTGCCCCACCATTACCTCAGACCAGGGTCCGTTACCAGTCGGACCTACCAAGGAGCTTGTGCTGTCCCTTACCCTCCTTCCCAGAGCTGGTGTGACTAGACTTAACGCTTTCCACTTCTGTAAGAACTGCGCCCTGCTGGCCCGGCCTCACCTGTGCTTTCAGTCATCTCTTGCTTCTTTAGCCGCTAGCCAGTAATTCCCTCACACCTGAAAGTTCTGTCATTTCCCTGCATTTCCCAGCTCCGTTCGCTTAACCCTGTGAATCATGTTTCCTGTGTAGTGGAGAGAAACAACATCAGTGAAGATCTCTGAATGCCTGATAGCTAGCCAGTTATGACGGTGAGTTCACCCCTGCTTGCTTTTCTTCTGTCTGAATGGCAGAGGGCTTTGCCTCCCAGCTGAACCCCTGCTCTGCTCTGCCTCCCATCTTCCCCCTTTCTCAGCCAAGTACTTGGCTTCACTAATTAAGTTTTTCCTTTCTGCAGTCCCTTGGGGCTTACATTTTAAACTTTCCCTAAAATTTTTTCTTGCAAGACCCCAAGTTTTCTACTTAATGACAAATTTCTGGAATAAGTATCTGCATACTGACTACAATTACCTGTCTGACCCTGCCAAATCCTGGCTTCTGCCTGCAGCGCATAGAGGCAGCCCCTAGTGGTGACAGCTAACATCCTTCCCAGTCTGCCTGCTTGGTGATGCCTATGTGTCAAGGCCCCTTCACTTTTCAGGTCACAGAAGCCTGAGGTAGTGAGGATTCCTTTACTGTCACGTAAAACATTCCTTGTATGTCCCTCTCCTAAATTTGGTTCCCTGTCACTTTCTCTTCAGAACCCCACCTGCTACAAAAGAGGTGCATTCCTTGTGTGCACAGCATATCTCCAGGTCCAGGAGACTTGGGGCGCTCAGAACCATCTCCTGTGCTGTTCACGTCCACTTGCTCTGTACACAGCTCTGGCTGCTATTGCACAGCCTGTCTTTGTCTCTGGCCCAAGTTTGTATCTTCCATCAGGACCCATGAAACAGAAAGAGGCCAATGTGTTTGCTTCTAAGGAAGGTGAAAACAGGTCTTGGACCTGACAGTGTTTCTTGTCCCGAATTAAACGCTGAAAAGGCCTCTGCCCCAAATCACAAAGTAGGAAGTGGCAGGACAGCATCCAAACAAGGGCATCGTGACTGCCTGGTCTGTGACCTTGACCCTGGCAATGGTTTTCCTGGTACCGCTGTAGGTAGATACCCCTTTCTGAACCCCAGAGCTGACCCTGCTCTTCTGCAGTGGTTTTTTCTGCCACCTTTCCTTCAAGTCTTGCTATGCTCTGGGTGCAGTTGTAGGTCATCTTTTTTCTCAGCTCCATAATGTCACTAACTTTTGACATCAACTTTTATCCCTAAAGTAGTAAAGTAGAAACAATAGGAATTTATTTCTCCCAGTTCTAGAACCTACATAGTCAGATGAGGGCACCCTCAGAGGGTGAGGGGGACCTGTTTTCTCTCACAGTGCCTGTTTTATAGTCCTCCTGTGGTGGAAGAGGCCAGCTGGCTCTCCGGAACCTCTTCCAAGGGCTCCAGTCCCATTCCTGAGGCCCATTCTCATGTCCTGGTTCATACCCCCACCCCAAACCTGATTCATATTGGGGTGAGAATTTCAACATACAGCTCTGGGGAGGGGGCACATTGACACTGCAGCAGTTCCATAGGTCAGTTAATTAACAACAGTTGGTAATAATCATTTTTTAAAAATGTTTAAAGGGGAAAAATACTGTACCTTGCTAGAGGGGATTGTGCTCTGGCTTCATCTTGGGCCACTGGCGATCTCCCATTGCATTGCTCCTTTCCCCAGGGCTGTGTGCTTGTTTAACCACAATTCCCTTTCCCTACGGCCTTTCACGTTCCTTCCTGTCACCTGTCACCTGTCACGGTGCTGCACAGGCCCTGGCTGCTTCCTGCTCTGACAGCATGGCCCATTCCCACGCATGCCTTCCATCTGGAAGCCCTGCCCCAGCTTTCGTGCCTGTGGCTTTGGGTTAAATTCTCCTCGGGAAGACCCCTGACCACACGGGCTTCAAAGCCCTTCCTGGGCACCCAGCTTGACCCCTTTACCGCACTCCGCTACCCTGGAGTGTGTGAAGTGACCCCATTCACTTCCTGTCTTTGCTTTGTCTCTTGGTCTCTTGTTCTATCAGATTCTAATGATAGGAAAGGTGTTACCAGTCTCATTCTATAAAATGGAAAATGCTCTGGCCGCTATCTCCTGCACCTCCTGGAAGCCAATCCTGCATGATTTCACACCGATTCTCCTAAAAGCAATATGACTATGTTGTCCCTCTCCTTGAAAGGGCATTTTCCAGACTCCTCAGTGTGGCACTCCAGACTCAGGCTACCTTGTGCATTCTTTGCCAGGTCCCCAGGCCTAAGCTCATCAGCCTGTACCCCTTCACTACTGGCCTATGCGCCTCTGCCTACAAGGCCCAGTCAGGCATCACCTCTTGAGATTCGGTCTGCTCATCAACCCTGTGTTCCCAAGCCAGGCACTGACCTCTTAGCAGGTATGAGTAGGAGCTGGCCTCCATAGTGGACAGAAAGCCTCCTAACATAACCTTGTCTTTAGCACATGCTGTGCTCTTTATCCATTTTATTTGATTGGCTTCAACCCTTTCCACTCACATGATTCTTCCTGTTTTGATGGGTTGTAACAGTGATATTTCTCTCTGATTCAAACTCTGCCCAGTTCTGCAGCATCCATCTGCTCATCACATGAATATTGATTGGCCATATGCAGCCATATTATTAGTGCCATTTGGAAACACACTAGAGAAACTATTTTCTGTTAGAGAATTCTGCACATGTCTTTTCCTCCACCAGACTGTGAGCTTCTGGAGGGCCAAGAACCAGATTAATCATGTCCAACTTCCTAACGTCTCTTGGGGGCATCCTCCAGAGCTCCCATCATATGTACCATGTTGAAGAAACTCCCAAGGACACACTCAAACACCCAGGGATAAGACGGGCAGAGCGCGCTTCTCAGGCGGAGCACACATAATCCCCAGGTTCTATTTAGAACAATTTTAAATTCTGTTTAGACACTTTGAGAACAGGATCCAGGGGGCTGGGGATTTAGCTCAGCAGCATAAGCACCTGCCTTGCAAGCAGGCAGTTGGGAGTTCGATCCCTGGTACCGATAAAAAGGAAAAAGACAAAAAGAGACCAGGATCCAAAAAGTGGTAGGCGCCTGGCCTCAGGCTTCCATTTCTGTGCCTCCATAAGTAGTGCTTGGGAGTAGTAGCCCACTTCTCCAGTGCATCCAAGCTGTTCTGATGTTTGTGAGCATTGCGTGTTGGGTTTAAAAGACAGGACCAGCTCCAGGGAAGCCAGGCTTTTGTTCCCTGTCAGCCACGGCAAGCTGTGTACTCTGTCAAGTATGCCAGTGAGCCTACAGCTTGCCCATTTGCAGGAGGTTGGGAGAGAGTAGATGCTGTGTGGGGGTCTTCGCAATACCAAGGTGCTGATTCAGTACCATTGCTAACATCTGTCCAGGTGAAAATCAGCCCTAGCTAAATGAATGCCTAGCTGTTCATTCCCTCCCCTCAGGAGCAAAGTTCTGTCTGCTTTCTGGCATGCACATGCATGCACGCATGAGCACACACGTACACACACACACAAACACAACCAGTGCGCCTATCAAACCCTGTAGGAAGCTGCAATGGAACAATTGTACCAACATTTAGACCAAGTGGTGACAAAAACTAGTGCCACCCTGTAGCATGTTGAGAAAATGATGCCCCAATGTTGGAAACTACGTCTAAGCTCTCAGCCATACTTTGGATGTTTGCAGTCAGAGGTGCAGATCAATTCCATTTACACACCTAAGCTTTGTACCCAAGGAGGCTGTGACTCAGCGGGACTGGATGAGGCCCCTAGGGAGTGTGGTTTGTGAAGAGGCCAAAATGGTGCTAAGGTGCCCCCTAGTGGAAGCCAGCACGAACAATGATGTTGAGTAGGAATAGAATAGCTGTTTGTGGACAGGCTGGGATTGATGCCTCCCTTCAGGTTCATCCTTGTCACAAAGGGGCCACTGGGTACTGTGGTGATGGCTGTAGTATGGAGGGATGTGGTGCCCTCTGCACTTTCCAGTCCCTGTTACTGTAAAAATAAAGTCTTGGGGCTTTTTTTCATGCAAGGAGAAGCAACCTGGCTCTAGGAGGGCCGGTGGAAGACAACGGTCAGGGGCCGTGGTTCTGTGCCTGTCAGCCAGATCACCCTTTCTGATCACCTTTGTTCTCAGGTTATCTCTGCAGTAGCCTTCTGTTTTCTTGGGGCAAAACTCAACTCCTTAGCCAGGCATTGAAGGCAACTTCCGGTTTTGGCCACAAATCATCTTTCCAGGTTTAGAATTCATGTCCTGAGCGCAGCCTGAAAGGCCAAAGGGAACACCAGCACAAGCTACAAGCCCTGGCCTCAAAGGCAGGGACTTGATCTCTGTTCAGCTCTGCAACCAAGGTCCAAAAGAACGTGTGTGTGTGTGCGCGCGCGCGCCCCCTGCCGACCAGCTAATTCTTCCCCTTTTGTGCTGCACAGCCCTTCTGACCCTCTGCTCTCCAGTTTCCCTTCCAGCTGTCTTCCTCCTCGGAGCCAGCCCGCTGTGTTCTTGCATTACTCAGCTCTGTGCTGCGTTTTTATGGGTCCCTCGAGGCCAGGTCTGTGCTCAGTGCGGCTTTGTCTCCAATACCAGCCTGCGGGCCCTGGCACTACCTGG